AAACAATTTGAGCTGAATGGACCACGAAGAATGATTTTTTTTACTAAGTCTGACCCAACAATCAAAACCTCAACACTAGAGCAATAACATTGTTGACTTCTGTATACAACATAGGAGCAGGAGGAGGCGGTTCAGTCCTTCGAGCCTGTTCCGCCATTTAATTAGATCATGGCTGATCTCTACCTCAACTAATCCTTTTAGTTCCAATTTTCCGTTTTCTCCCCATATCCCTTAAATACCCTGACCTACCACAAATCTATCAACCTCACTTTTGAAGGTGTGGATAGATCCAGCACCCATGGTCTTTTGGGGAGAGAATTCCAGATTTCTACCACCCTTTGAGTGAAAAAATGCTTCCTGGCTTCACTCTTAAATGGTCTGGTTCCAATTTCAAGTCGATGTCCCCTTGGTTTGGATTCTGCCACCAGAGGAAATAGCTTCTTTGTATCTACCCTATCAAATCCCTTTATCATCTTAAATACCTCAATCAAATCACCCCTCAACCTTCTAAACTCAAGAGAATACAATCCAAGTTTACACAGCCTTTCCTCGTAACTTAACCCTTTTAGGCCTGGTAACATTCCGGTGAACCTGCGCTACACCCCCTCCAGGGCCAATATGTTTCCTGAAGTGTTGTGCCCCAAACTGAATGCAGTACTCCAGATGGGGTCTGACTAACCCTCTATACAGCTGAAGCATTATTTCTTCCCCATTGTATTCCAGGCCCCTTGAGATAAAAGCCAACATTCCATTCACCTTTTTGATTACTTTTTACACCTGGGAATTAGTTTTTAGTGATTTGTGGATATGTAAAATTTCTTTACTCCTCTACGTATTCTCCAAATATTCTGCTTTATTTTTTTTCGGTCAATAGTGGATGACCTCATATTTCCCTACATTGAACTCCATCTGCCACAGCTTTGCCCACTCACTTAATCAGTCTAAGTCCCTTGGCAACTTTCTAAGCCCCTTGGTAATTTATACAAGACTAATGAATGTGACTAATGACCAGAGGAAGTCTGCACTTCCAAACGTATGCTCACCATGATTTTTATGATAGCATACAAAATCTAAACTGGTATCACTAGACATAGTGGAGTCTATGTAGCTCAGTGGTTAGAGCACTCGCTTTGCAAGCAAGAGACCTGAGTTCAATTCCAGGCAGAGGGCGAAACCTTGGGCAAGTTTCCTTACTCCACACGCCTAATAATAATCCCTCCAAAAAACAAAAACAATAATTAAATTGGTCATTTTCAATCTATGACTGTTTGTGGGACATTGCTGTGCGCAATTGGCTGCCGCGTTCGCCCACAAATATACAGTCAACTCACTTTACAGTATATTCTGTGAAGCGCTTTGGGACGTCCTCCCGACGTGAAAAGCGCTATATCAAATGCAAGGATTATTATTATTATTATTATATACAGTGCAGATGAGTTCAGTGACATCCACTCGTCCTGTGTTTCAAGCGCACTGGGATGCTATCCTGCGTGAGAGGCACTATATAGTTGTTGTTTTAGTAGTGGTATTGTACTTCTAGTCAGCGATTTGGCAACACTATTTCTTTTCAAGCATTTCAGGATGTGCTGCTTTTTTGTTGAGCACAATGTTTTCTGCTGGCAAACAATTAATTTGTAACTGAATCTAGTAGTATTGTGCTAGAAAATTGAACAGACTTAACGTGCCATTCAAAATAAAACCATTTAGTATATTATACAGAACAGAATGATCAGGAACTTAACTGACCACAAGTTGTACCATGACATAACTAACTTCCAATTATTTCAGATTGGATCCACAAAAATGAATGCTAGGAACAATCCTGCGTAGAAAATACAAAATACAAAGTACCTAGAAGACAGTAAACCTAAAACTCAAGTTTCTTTTTTTCTGGTCAGACTAATACAATGCAAACATACCATCAGAGGGACAATCCAAGGTGCTTAAATAATAATAATAATCCTTGCATTCGATATAGCACCTTATCACGTGATTGAGACATCTCAAAGCACTTTACAGAATGTACTATAAAGTGACTGTGTATTTTGTGGGCAAAACGTGGCAGCTAATTGCGCACAGCAGTGTCCCACAGTCGTGGATTGAGTGACCATTAACCCTAAAAAAAAGACCAGTCCGGACTAGGATTATGCCTCCCTGTCTGATTCACACCTTGTGGATTCACATTGTGGAGTCCTGTAGCTTAGTGGTTAGAACACTCGCCTCTCAAGTGAGAGAACCTGGGTTCGATTCATGGGCAGGGCAAAACGTTGGGCAATAATAATAATAATCCTTGCATTTGATATAGCGCTTTCACGTCGGGAGGACGTCCCAAAGCACTTCACAGAACACACTGTAAAGTGAATTGACTATATATTTGTGGGCGAACGTGGCAGCCAATTGCGCACAGCAATGTCCCACAAACAGTCATAGATTGAAAATGACCAATTTATCATTGTTTTGGGTTTTGGAGGGATTATTATTAGGCGTGTGGAGTAAGGAAACTTGCCCATGGTTTCGCCCTGCCTGGAATTGAACTTAGGTCTCTCGCTTGCAAAGCGAGTGCTCTAACCACTGAGCTACAGGACTCCACAAGTTTCCTTACTCCACACTCCTCTGTTTACCTAGCAGTAAGCGAGAACCTGGTTGTTAATTGATTGGCGAATCACTTTTTCAGGGGTAATAATTCCTTTTTTAAAAAATTTGGCCATTCAATCCATGACTGTTTGTGGGGCACTGTTGTGAGTATTTCACCCTCAAAATAGTCAATTCACTTCATAGTATATTCTGTGAATAGCTTTGAGACGTCTCGAAGACGTGATAAGGCACTATATCAAATGCAAGGATTATTTTTCTTAGATTCCCTTAAAAGTGAGTTTCTGATCCCAAAAAGAATCATGACTATCAAAATTAAGTGAAGTTAAACAAATGCTTCGATATTCTAATAATTACCAGCTTGAAGAATCTCCTTTTGAATTCCATTTCTAAACTTAAAAGATTCAGTACTCCCAGCTCTTCCGCGCCACAGAATCAACATTTTGTATTCTACCTTTATTACATGTGTAAAAGGTAGGTATAAAAAGCAGCCAAGCTTTCAACTATCTCTGGAACTTCCTCCCATCCTAAAAATCTATCGGCAAGGGAGAACTCTTCCGCCATATCCCCATACCACTTTGAAGTCTAATTCCCTCTTGAAAGCTACAAGGGACTCTCTCAACCGCCCTACTCAGCAGGGCATTCTACATCCCAACAACTCTGGGTGAAAAAACAATATTTTAATTAATAATATTAAAGGTTATTATTCCCCATTGTCTGTATATCATTCATTGAACTGCAGTGCAGGTGAATTTCCTCCAATTATGGCAATGCTGATGAGACTGCTAGATTTATGGAAGTGAGCTAGAGCAACACCTTTCTGAATCATCCTTGTTCTGTAGCTCAAACATTACAAAATAGCAATACAATAGAAATTTATCCTGTAAGAACATAAGCCCATCTTCAGCCACTCCTCAAAACACCTTTTGTTGACGACTTAATTAGGAGTTAAGAGTACAGAAGTTGTAGTGAAGTTTATGCAGAAACATTTCTTTCTGGCATCCAAAAACTCCATCATTCATTCAAAAACACAACAAAATACTCTGGATAGGAATAATAGGTTATGGGCATTTAATCTCCAGAACAGCTATCAGATAAAGTACTGCATAGTAAATTTAAGATTATTAAATGTATTTAGAATTTGAAACTGAAACAAAATGTAAAATTCGATGTACCCCTCACTAACTGTTATTTTCTTCCTGCTCCTGAACTGAATTTACGATCTGATTTTGTTTGCAATGTGGTTACTTGTAGGTGACACAGAGTATGATGCAATCATCTTACTTGAATCAGATGATAAAACATTTGAAGCTAAACTACGCATCATCATCTTTCACAAGATGTCGAGGATGCATCTTTCCATGGACAAAAGTTGCAAGTAGTAATATTGAAGAAGAGTGGCAAACAAATTCAAAAGATACTGTCGTCAAGTATCTCGCGTGCAAATCTATCACACTTCACGATTCTGTATTGCTCTAAAATAGTACTGTAAAACTTGAGGTACTGTTTGGATTAGATTTGTTTAAAATCCCAATATTACTCAGCGACTATTCCAGGTGGCTCGTGGACATCGGAGTTGGTAAAAGATACGAGCACTTTACGAATTTATCGACTCAATGCTAGGATTGATCGTTTTAAAGTGTACATTTAAATAGACGAGAATTCCTAAAACCTTCTGAATATAATGTGTCCTATTAAAATCCAAAGTTCAACGCACATCATCGAACTGTCCAATAAAGGCGACGCCGGAATCAGACTTTCGGCGCTGCTCTGACAGGCGGAGGCTGAAGGGAAGCACAGGGCTGTTTTAACCGTCACCGGTCTCCACCTGACCTCTCACTCTAAAAACGGCCTCCCTTCCCCATGACATAGCAAATACCTTTTAAACCAGCCGCCTCTTCCTATCCGCTCTCAATTCGCCCTCACCCTCACCCTTCTCTCAACCTCACCCTCACCCGGGCCCTTCTCTCCCCCTCACCCTCACCCGGGCCCTTCTCTCCCCCTTCCCCTCACCCGGGCCCTTCTCTCCCCCTCACCCTCACCCTTCTCTCCCCCTCACCCTCACCCGGGCCCTTCTCTCCCCCTTCCCCTCACCCGGGCCCTTCTCTCCCCCTCAACCGGGCCCTTCTCTCCCCCTCACCCTCACCCGGGCCCTTCTCTCCCCCTCACTCGGGCCCTTCTCTACCCCCTCACCCTCACTTGGGCCCTTCCCCTCACCGGGGCCCTCACTCGGACCCTCACCCCCACCCGGGCCCTTCCCCTCAGTCTCACTGGGTCCTTCGCCTCACCCTCACCCGGGCCCTTCCCCTCACCGGGGGCCCTCACTCGGACCCTCACCCCTACCCGGGCCGTTCCCCTCACTCGGGCCCTTCGCCTCACCCGTTATCTTCCCCTCATCGGGTTCTTACCACGAATCTCCCTTTTTGAGCAGTGTTTTCAATAAGTTCCCGATCTCATTCTTCTGGGTTTCCAGATCCGGGACGCCACCTTCCGCCATTACTCCCTCCCTCAGCGCCGGCCGAGCTCGCCCGCGCGCCGCTATTCGCGTACCTTCTAGAAAGCCGAAGCGTGACTCCGCCCCCAGCCCACGTGACTTCTCCTCGCCCCCTTACCAAAGCCCGCCCACGTGACTTGCCCTCCCTCTCTCTCTCTCGCGCGCACACACACACACACCCGCCGCGCACGCGCGTGTGCTACCTACCTATTACGTCACAGGGAGCGCGCCCGCTGCGCAGCAACCACTGGCCCGGGTCCGATGACGTAATCCAGAGGAGACCCAGACCAGAACCAGAACAATCCTGGATTTTGTTATAAGAGTGTAAGACTTTGCTCGGCGAAAGCAGACCAGGGGCCACGCAGTTCACCTTCCACCGTACTGGCAGTGGCTTGACATCGGCAGATCTGGCTTCACCGCACCAAGACCTGCCGCTGGGCTCTCGCCTCCGCCAAATCCTCCTTCTACTCCCAAGGCTTCTCGGAGGCAGAGGACAACCCCCGGCTTCTTCTCTTTTCCACCACTAACCGTCTCCTCCGTCCGCCCTGCCACGCCTCGCCCATCCTCTCCTCAAGCTCCAACTGTGAGGAGATGCTGGACTTCCTCGAATCCAAAATCGAGGGGATACGTTCAGCCACCTCAGCCCCGTCCACAGCCACCCCCACATCACCTCTCCCTCATGACCCACCCCCCCACCCATCCCTCCCTATACTCCTTCGACCCTATCTCTCCCTCATCCCTCACCACGACTGTCCGCAAACTCAAACCCACCACCTTCTCCCTCGATCCCATTCCCACCTCTCTCCTAGTCTCCCAGCTCCACCTTCTGGCCCCCCCTCCTGCCCGATGTCATCAACCTCTCCCTGTTCACCGGTTCAGTTCCCACCCCCCTAAAAATGGCCGTTATCACTCCCATCCTGAAAAAACCTTCCCTGGATCCATCCCTCTCCAGCTACCGCCCCATCTAACCTCCCATTCCTCTCCAAGGTCCTGGAACGAGTCATCGCGTCCCAGCTCCGTTCCTTTCTCTCTCGCCATTCCCTCTTTGAACCCCTCCAATTTGGCTTCCGCGCTGCCCACAGCATAGAAACAGCCCTGGTCAAAGTCACTAATGACATTCTGAACATCTGTGATCAGGGCTCCCTCTGCCTCCTTGTCCTCCTCAACCTCTCTGCTGCCTTTGACACTGTCAATCACTCCATCCTCATACACAGCCTCTCCGCTTTACTCAATCTTCACGGATCTGCTCTTGCCTGGTTCGATTCCTATCTCTCACCGTCTCCACTTCGTTGCCTCTAACGGTTTCTCCGCCAGCCCCCGCACTGTCACATCTGGCGTCCCCCAGGGCTCTGTCCTTGGCCCTCTCTTTAATATCTACATGTTCCCCCTTGGTGACATCATCCGCAGACATGGGGTCAACTTCCACATGTATGTGGATGACACCCAACTTTATCTTTCTGCCTCCACCCTCAACTCCAGGACCACTGCTGTCCTGACAGACTGCCTGTCGGACATCTAGTCCTGGATGAGGGCAAATTTCCTACAGTTGAACGTGAACAAGACTGAGGCCCTCCTGATTGGCTCACGCCAGTGCCTCAGCACCTCAGGCTCTGGCAACATCAACCTCCATGGTTGCACACTACAACTCACCAGCCAGTCAGGAACCGAGGTGTCTTGTTCGACCCTCAACTGCCTTTTCTCCCCCACGTTCAAGCCGTGACCCGTTCTGCCTTCCCTCAACTCTGTAACATCGCCCGACTCCGCCACTACCTCACCCCTCAGGCTGCTGAAACGCTTGGGTTAGGGTTGTTGTTGACATGTCCCAAACTATATACTGTAAATATGGTGCCTTATCACAACGTTGAGACATCACACCTTGGGACTTCCTTGTTGTAAACAACAACAAGATTACATTTGTACAGTACCTTTCACGATGGGATGGGAGGATGTTCCAAGGCGCTGGACAGAGTACAGCATTTCAGATCCGAGCTGGGGTTGGGGGGGTAAGGGAGGGGAGGGGGGTGGCCAATGGCATGGTCGAAGAGGACTTTAAGGAGGGGGCGAGGCGGAGTGACAGGGATGGAATTCCAGAGGTTGGGGGCTGAGTGGCTGAAAGCTCTCCTGCCAATGGTGGGGCGGGTGGGTTGGGAGACGTGGAGCAGGCCAAAACCAGCGGAGGGAATGGGCGGGTTGGTAGGGGGTTAGGAGGTCGCAGAGGTAGGGTGTGGCGAAGCCATGGAGGGCTTTGTATGTGAGGACCAGGATCTTGAACTGGATCCTCTGAAGGATAGGGAGAGTAAAGGCTCAATATATTTGTAATAATAATAATCCTTGTATTTGATATAGCGCTTTTCACGTCTTCTAGACTTCTCAAAGCGCTTCACAGAATATACTTTTAAGTGAATTGACTGTATATTTGTGGGCGAAATGTGGCAGCCAAATTACGCACAGCAGTGTCCCACAAACAGTCGTGCATTGAAGTGACCAATTTATTGTTTTTTTTTCTTGAGGGATTATTATTAGGCGTGTGGAGTAAGGAAACTTGCCCAAGGTTTCGCCCTGCTTATTTGTTGTTGAAATGGCTCCCAAGTGCTTCACAGAATATACTGTAGAGTGAATTGACCATGTATTTTTGTGGGCAAAACATGTTTTTGCTGATGGGAATTCACTCTAAACCAAAAAGAACAGGAGCTGAACTTGATCATCACAGATTCAGGTCCCCTCTTCTGCAGCTGTTCAGATGGATGGTACTGATCGCATTGTCCTATTAATAAAGAGAAGGGAGTTTCTCCCATCCATGTTCGGGCTGAAAATCCACCAGATAAAATTGGCCATTCACTTCATGGCTGTTTGTGCGCAGATTGGTTACCGTGATCATAATGATGCGATAATCCTTGCATTTGATATTGCACCGTATCTCATCATTGAGACGTCTCAGTGTTTCAAGATATCCTGTAAAATTGTGTGACTATTTTGTGGGCAAATGCAGCAGCAAAAGATAGCACCTCTGAGAAAGCAGCAGTACTACACTAGTGTCAGCCAAGACTTAAGAGCTCAAGTCTCAATGTGGAGCTTGAATTCACAATCTGCTATCAACGAAGCTAACAGTTACTTGTGCATAACAGAAGTCTCAAAAGTGCTTAATTATAATAATAATAATAATCCTTGATATAGCGCCATATCACTTCATTGAGACATTTCAAAGTGCTTCACAGGACATGCTGGAAAGTGGATTGATTGCACATAACATTACCCACAAACAGTCATGGAGAAAGTGATCAATTTGTATTTGGGAGATTGTTGGCCAGGAAAAAACCTGTTGATGAGAGCCAAAGAGTATGGCAGCTAGAGGAGGAGGCGGTAAGACCAAGGGAGGCTTTGGAAATGAAGGCCACCCCACCGCCACGCTGGTTTGGACGGGGGGTGTGGTGGAAGGTGTAGCCTGGAGGGGAGGCTTCCACTAGGGGGATGGGGTCATTGGCGGAGAGCCAGGTTTCGATGAGCCCAAGAATGTCAAGGTGCTCATCCAGGATGAGGTCATGGATGGTGAGGGCTTTATTTGAGAGGGAACGGACATTTTAGAGGGATATGCGGGTGGGTTTGCTGGAGGGAGGGGAGGGAGGAGAGAGTGGTGCGGAGAGGATTTTGGGGTGTACAGGAGAGATGGTTGTTGAGAGTGGTGTGAGTGGAGATTTCGGGAGGGAATGTATGAGGGTGGGGGAACTTGGGTTTGCCTTAAGGAGGCAGTTTGAGGTGAGGAAGTGAATGATTGGACATGTGGGGTTGCTGCTCTGGGCCAGCCAGTGCCGGGAGCCACGATGGGCCCGGCGGAGAATTCCAGGCTGGAGCAGGGGGAAGTGGTGATGGGGTTGAGGAGAGAGAGAAGGCGGGGAGGGTGGTGGGAGAGAAGAACAGAGGGAGAGTAGCGGATAGAGGGGGTTGGGAGGAGAGACATAGAGGGGGGGGGGCGGGAGGAGAGACATTTGGAGCGGAGGGGGGAGGCTCGGGTCGGGGCGGCAGCCAAAACGCGCACCCAGAGACCGGGAGCGAGCGATCAGCGGGACGGCATCAGCCCTCAGGCTCAGCCTCCCAGGTCATGGCCGGGATGGCAGTGACAGGGGCCAGGCCATTGTTGTTGTTGTTGTTTTTTTAACTGTGACGTCACTCCGACATCACTTTGTGAATCGCGCCCCCCCCCCCCCCACCCCCTCACTTACCTCAGCTCCTGACTCCTCTCCCAACTGAGTGGCTCCTCACTCGGCTGTGCTTTATACTCGCAGCTAGGCCTCGGCTCGGCCCCACGCTCTCCTGACTCCGCTCCCGATTATAATGATGCTAATAATCCCTCCAAAACAATAATAAATTGGTCATTTTCAATTCACGACTATTTGTGGGACACTGCTATGCGCAATTGGCTGCCACAAATATATGGTCAATTCACTGTACAGTCTATTCTGTGAAGCGCTTTTGAGACGTCTAGAAGATGTGAAAAACGCTATATCAAATAATAATAATCCTTGCATTTGATACAGCGTTTTTCAAGTCTTCTCGACGTCTCAAAGCGCTTCACAGAATAAAGTAAAGTGATTGTAAATGCAAGGATTATTATTATAGTGATGAATCCATTCATCCCATTGAGCTTGTTTCACCAATTTATCAGATCCTGGCAGGCCCAACGTCCCACTCTTTTGCCATACCGCTTAATACTACAAGCACTATCAAAGTAAGCATCTAACTCTTAAACAAATTGATTGTCTCTATACCTTTCTGGGTAAAATATTCCATATCTTCATAACCCTCTGTAAATAAATGCTTCCTCACCTCAGTTCTAACTGTCCTCTTTCTGATTTTAAGACTGTGCACCCTCATCATGGAAAGGGAACCAGCAGAGCTTGGTGAGGATGTGTATGATGGGCTTCATGGTAGGAGAGGATGTGGGCTGCAGAGTTATGAATCAGTTTAAGCTTATGAAAGGTCAAGCCAGTGTGGAAAGTGCAAGAGAATTGAAGTCTGAAGGTGAGTATCGGTACTAAACTCTGTACCCCTATCACACCAGTTCTAACCAAGCTCCACTGGCACCCCATCACCGAACAAGTCGATTTCAAGTTCAAATCCCTTCATGCCCTGACACCTCCCTACCTCTCCGACCTGTGGTGGGAACAGAGGTGAGGGCAATAGTGCGGTGGAGAATAGCTGACAAAGAAAATGTTTTTGCTGATCAAAAGATCACTGACTTCCCATTTCTACCACTAACCCTGAATAAGAACACAAATAAGGTTACACTAAAGGAGTATTCTTATGCAAAAACTTTATTAATACAGCTATTGAAAATAACATCTCATACAAAACTTAATAAGTTGTCTGCAAAATAGTATACAGAAAGTATATCCAAGAGAACCAGGTTATTAAATTTGGAAAAAGGTCACCTTTTAAGAGCAGATACAAAAAGACATACTTGTAGACCAGGCCTGAAAAGATTCCCTAGAATCTTTACAACGATCAGTTGCAGCATAAACACATTTAACCATGCAGTTTCAAAATGATCTTCAATTCCATTATATCTCTGGGTAGGCCCAACAATTGAACTGCACTTATAAATATGGTTATGTTCAAAAATGGCTTGCATCTTTTATTTCTGTTCAGATATTGCAGCTTAAATGTTAGACCGTAAGATGTAGGAGCCATTCGGCCCCTCGACCCTGCCCCGCCGTTTAGTAAGATCATGGCTGATCTTCTAACCTAATTCCATTTACCCGCCCTAACCCCATATCCCTTAATACCTCTATCCTCAGTTAGAATAGCAACTGAGTTGGAATTGGACCATTAGTAACACAAGGTCATGGTAAACCACTGTAAAATTCATTAGGGAACAGATTTCTGCACCACCTGTTTCAAATTTGAATTCCTCTTTATACCAATTGCACTTTCTCATCAACATTTGTTTCTTGAACATTTTGTATTTAGTTTCACTGCTTTCACATTTAAAAAAAACATTCAGGTGAATTTACATCATTCCTTCAAACTCACAAGGGATGACCTATTGCTCCACCAGCACCAATTTAAACAACTACAGCACTTACATTCATTATTCAAGGGAATAAATTGAAGGCCAGCTTTTCTGCTTCCCTTGTGATATGCAAATTATCCCATCTGAAGCAAGTTTCTAAGATTGATATAGTAGGCTACATTCCAAGTGGGAATTATAAGCCCTCACAGTCACTCTTGTCTCTGGGTTACTACCGCTTTGGGTATTTGGGGGCATAGACAAAAGGCCAAATGCAATCTCCAGCTCAATAGGATGACTTTAAGGTTGCAACCATTACAAATAACCAAATACATAGTGGTTTCCGAGCTGCAACCTAGCCTCTGTTCTAACAAAATAAGCCAAATTTGGATTCCAACTCCAGATTCATAGCATATGAATCCCCATAGAAATTTAAAATAATTTAACTAAGTGGAATATAACGCTACCATGGATAAATGGTGCAACGTTTCACTAAGTCCTATAACTGCATGGGCTGGGTCAAAATTTCAGTAAAAAATAAGAAGCTAATGTTCAGCCATTACTCCCCATAATATTAGTCAACGTTCGATTAAATCAGATTATCAAAAGCCACAAGTACATTTATGTGGCATTTAACACACCAAAGGAACCATTTAACACACCAAAGGTACCAGAAAAATCCTATCTGTTGCCCTTATCCAATTGGCGGGGGTGATCTTAAAGTTTCAGAATGACCTTTTCACTGCATGTATTTTTTTAAAGGTCAACAAGTTGCATTATTAAACGATACGGTTTCAAAAGGAGCTGGAATAAAGTTCATTTCAGAAAAATCTGTATTATCATTTATTCATAGATGAGTTATTAGTAGACTAGCTAGCAACACCCATCAATAGAAGTCAAAATGAAATTCACCATCCGACTAAACACCATTTACACTATAAAGCAAGAGTCTTTACAACCGTTTACAAGACCCTAGCATTAAAGCTACGTTTCTGGACAGTATTAAACAAGTCTCCCTTTTGCTCCTAGAGATGAATAATAAACAGCTTTGCACATTTTAATAAACACTTGTACTTTTGAATGCATTTCATTGAAATTGCAAAACAGCACACATATCACAGCTCAACTAACTACAAATACCTGTAACTAACTGCTGCAGATAGAAAAGCCAGCGATGATGTATTTGGGGGTTAATGAAATCTCCAGGGAGCCCTGCACTGAAATAAGGAATGGAATTAACCACATTATGGCTACTCCTGATTGGGGCTGCTGGTCTACTTCACCATTTCGGAGGGTGAGCTGGAGGCAGTCTGTATAATAAACCACTCAATGCTGGGAATGGAAAGAAAATGGTAGTCAAGACCCTGTGTTATACTGCAAGGTTTTAAAAGCGAAAAACAAAGTCAAAATCTGGTTTATAAATATCAAAGTTTTATGGTTATATAAAAACATACAAGTTATACCCATGGACGAGTAGCTCTCCTGTATTTACGCACTAAAATCTGCAATGAAGTGCAAATTGGAAATTGTTCCCAGGGAGATTGTGTAGTTCCCAGTGGCCAGTGTCACTGACAAACATTGAGTGACATTGGAGGAGTGAAAGTCTTCAAAATTGGTAATTGGCCTACAGAGAGCAGAGGAAGGGAAGAAAGACGCCCATCCCCCATTCTAACATGTTTGACCAAATATAACCAATGCCTTGGTCCTAGTCATGCAGTTTCTGTATCCCACAATGAAATGTTATTGAATTACTGCTTCAACCTGGGGTGTGGAAACACATTTTGTGACACGAGAGGTCACATAAAAAACTACAGTGCTTGATATGATCCAATTTTATGGAACAACTTCTCAAAGAACAAGTGAACAGTGTTGTGCAGTGCAACCGTAATGTTAGTGGAGCATAATGCTCAACTACAGCAAGATTCTGCACATATCTGAAAATCCTTTTCATTCGGATACACTGCAACTTGAAAGAAGTTTCAATTCGAACAGTAATCTATAGGGGTCCACAAAGTCACCTTCCCCTCTCCACCCCCATTACAAAACAGCAATGAGACTATGGAGGAGCTGAAAAAAGCTGACAGAGAAATACATCTCTGTCACACAAGATGCATTTTGCCTCATCACTCCATCCATGTTACCGAAGATGTCACACCAAACATGGCAATGGATAATTAATTATCTGCCATGATAATGATGGGGCTCACACACCGATCCTCTGGGCGTCGAAATACAGTTAAACACTTTTACTGAATACAATTAAGTACTTCTAAGTGCAATTATCATTATTCTTCCACATGTTTCAGTTGTTGGTCAGTGCACTGTAGAAAAAAAAATGGGGGTAACAGGACTTTGTCGAAACACTGTACTGCTCAGACACAATTGTTATTAAATTCCACACAAACCCACCTGCTAGTCCTCACTGTGAATAGGTAAGAAATGATCAGTAGCATCTGCCTGACACACAACACTACGTGTACCAGGTAGACGCATTTTGCTGAAACAAAAACATATTAATTGTCACATAATTTCCCCAGATAATTATAATTAAAATGCAGTAACTAGTTAACCTTTGATTAATATTGAAGCATTTCCCCAAATTTCATAACTGCCTGATAACACATAGCAGCAGATGCAGAAGAATTGCTTCTTAACAAAGATTAGCCCCTGATGTAATGGCACATTTGGCTTGATGTATCGAGCAAACATTTTTAAAATTATTAACACACTTTGCTGCATTGCAACCATCCTTTAGAAAGTGATGAGTGGTGTAAATCTGTAAGATAGCTGATAAGAAGTAGCAATGTAAAAATCATACTGCGAGCAACACAAAACAAAAAAGGCTGGTAAGTAATCAGGATAAACATCCATTTTAGATGGCTGCTTTGGTTTTCACATGCTTGAAACCACATCAGAGATTATTGCAGCTATTGTAACTGATAAAATTGTTCACTACACAAAAAGAATTTCAGATTCATACGTAAACTCAGTCAAATTTAATATCAATTTTGTAAATATCACAAATTCCATATGTCCTGAATTGGCCATCTCAGCCTTAGACCTGAGACCCAAGTCAACTGCAAAATGTGGAGAAAAATAGATGCCGTCTTGAGATGTAAAATAAATACATGTGATTCACCAAAAAGTAGGTAAACCCACGGACTTCTCTCATCTGTTGTCAAAATCTTCCAGGCAAAATACAAAACATAGAAAAAGAAATGGAACTATTTTACTGCCAAAGTTTCTCCTGTTGATGCCTGAACAGGCAAAGCAAATTAGAAAATAAAGAAAATGTATGCCATTAAGAAAAGCTGGTTGCAGAACAATGCGAGTGGCTAATTAATAGCAGATACCATTAATCTCTCTATCTGTTGCCTCATGAAACCTCCCTTCTGGTGTAAGTTGTTGGGCGTCACAAGACAGAAGAAAGAAACGTAGACACTGAATATTGTATAGGAATTTGAACCCGTGCCCATAATGAACAGAATGTTTAAAGCGCTGATGTGGACCATTACAAAGATTCCAAAAACAAATAACCAATATATCATGAGCATTGTGGTGCAATAAGTCAGATTTAGCATTTGGAAATCAAAACAGCAAAATTCCCACTTAAAACTATGAAAACATGAGTAATAGGCAGATATTATTGTCAGATCGTTGTGTGAATTTACATAAAGAAAAAAAATCAAATTTTTAATAATGTTAACCTTTCGTCACTGTATAATAAAAAAAACCTATCAATTATTCAGTGGTGATTTCATACCCACTTCTTTATAGGGCTAACAAAATCCAGTTTGGCAGAAACCTGCTTCAGGAAATCCAAACAGAAACTCAACACAAGTTACTCCAGGACCAAAAGTGATTTTACACCCACCCGAAGCCACCAAATTGGTCACGATGTTACACCTATGCTTTTGGTTATGGTAATGCAGACAAACAAAGAAATGGCAGAAAAACAAAGAGGCCACACTTAGTTCATTCCCACAGCATTCACACACCAAAAAGCTAGACAGTTGGCAAAAATGTGGCCTTGATTAGAATAATTTAGTTCACCACGGTAAAAACTGACTTATACAACCCAATGTAACATACACCAAAGGTCATCCAGAAAAACAAATACTCCCTATGTGGATATGGAATCAATTTTTGCCACATTTCTAAACAAAAATAGATACTCTGAAGTTGTACGTGACATGTATTTTTATGGATGAACTGTATCACTTAAACTTGTAGGAAATGCAACAAGATCCATCCTCAGCCAATATCAAGACACCATATTGATTAACAGTATCAATGCCTTCCAAATTCACAGTGAAACGTCGAGAACAAGCTAGTGGTTTTGTGAAGCACTAAAGCTTTACAAAAAGTTTTTAATGCCTTCCAAGTGAATGTTTAAGACTAGTAATTGAAGGAGAAATATCAAGTCTTTACTTTAAACACAAGTTAAGTTAGCAGAAGTTAACTGGTGAAAGGAACCACCATTACACACAACGCCTCAGAATATTGATGTTTCTATCTCCTTGCTGAACATGCCTTCAAAATTAAGGTCTTTGGTCATTAGTTCCTCTTCAACCTCTTCTAAGGCCCACTGATGATCGGTGAGTTCCAAAGCTTCCCACTCAGCCTAAGAATAAAACCATGCAGATTGTGAATTAATTTCAGGGGTGTGATGTGGTCTGGGTCATTTCAAAAGGATAAACTCACTGCTGTCAAAACTGGGGAGCTCAAAAGTTGTGCGAAGGGGGAACCAGCCATGAAACAATACCTGTATTGAAGGGGGAGGCCTGAGCAGCACCAGACCATACAGGCCAAAAAGCTGTACACTTTGAACACTGCTGAGCTAGCTGATCTCAGTTGGCTTCAATGCTTCTGTTTTTGGGAGAGGAACATGAGCCAGAGTTCCTACTCCTGATTGCTATGAAAGACCATTAGTGGAAAGTGCATAGTGTGAACAGGATTGGGTCAACTAGCCTGTCAACACTCAACTCAACCACTTGTTCAACTAGGATCATTGGATCTTGTTTTGCGGGGTTAACAGGCCCTGACTGGGAAGAATCCCAGTGACTGTGCCTGGGAGATGCAAAAGTGTGGCTAAAGATAATTAGCTTTTGCATTTCCTTTCTTGCTTTGGTGACGTGTGTCACTATGTGAGAGAAAGAATGCAAGAGTGAAGAAATATTTTGGGTATTAATGGCTGAACGCCATACGATTTGCGTGGCATAGAATTAAACTCCATCTGAAAACAAGGTCAGGGGAAATAATTCTAAATGATTAATGAATGCTTTGAGATGCCTCGAGGGTAAGACAACAACAACAAAATTACATTTATAGAGCGCCTTTCACGTCGGGAGGATGTTCTAAAGTGCTGAACATTCAGATGTCGGGGCCCGAGCATGGGGGAGGGGTGGTGTAGGGGTGAGGGAAGGCAGAGAGGTGGGAGGGAGACCAAAGGCACGGTCGAAGAGAAGGGTCCTAAGACTGGCCTTGAAGGATGCAAGGGAAGAAGCGAGGTGAAGGGACCGTGGGATGGAATTCCAGAGTGTGGGGGCTGAAAGCCCGGCCACCGATGGTAGGGCGGGTTGGGCGGGAGACATGGAGCAGGCCGGATCCTGATGAATGGAGGGAGTGGGGAGGTTGGTAGGGAGTCAGCAGGTCAGAGAGGTAGAAGGGGGCAAGGACATGGATGGCCTTAAAGGCGAAGACGAGGATCTTAAACTCGATCTTCTGGTTTCATACCAAATGCAAGAATTATATTATTGTTGACATTGCTTTTTCAATTAAAAACAACATACCTTAAAAGCTTTATTTGTATCAGGAGGCATTGCCATTGCAGCGCCAGTCATCTGCTCCTGCATAATGCGAGACTGGTCTGCAGCTGAAAAGGAAGAAAACAGAGGATTGTTTGATACTATTTTGATTAACATTTTTGATTTAAATAACACCCAATTTTGGTGCACAAAGGAATACAGGAACAGAAGCTTTCAGATTGTTGGGCCTGTTCCGTCATGTTGATTTCCAAGGCGTGGTTACATAGCTACCAGAAATCCTGTGTTGTCTATGTTTTTTTTAATTCAGCTCCAATCACAGTGATATGCAGCAAAGAATCTGGAACAGGAAACGATCTTCCCATTTCTTGTCACCGTTGCCGTGTAAGCACACCATTACTTTGAAGCCCATATCCTCCCTCCCACAACGTAATTACCAAAAACATACAGAATCATTGTTCCTTTGTTTCATAGGCTACCTGGTGGGTTTCCTTGATTGTTTTGCTTCCCAAAAATGTTATGGCCCACCTGCTCCTAACACTCAGTCAGTGATGTTGTCGGGACATTGGAAACCAGTAGGGAAACATCTTGGAATTCTGCGGTATTGCAATCTCCCCTCGCTTCCGAGCAACTGTCTATCCAACCTGGATGGGTTTCCCAAGTTAGAAGTTAGTTGTGCCATTTATATACTTGAAGTATATAATGCCATTTAATTTGGTGGTGGGTTTGGTTCCATATACTCAGAAGCCACGTTATAAGGAGGCATGCTAAAAAATAGCCATTGGTCATCATTCCCAGGATCAAGTCACCACTGAATTGCTTCCTTTGCAATGTGTGCTACTGATAGGAATCGCCACAAACATCACTTACTTCACAAAACGGCATCAAACTGACCCACCTTCACATAGTTCACATATGCGCTATTTGCAGGAACCCATCCAGTTTGTGCTTCAAGTCTGAAGTGTACCATACTTCTATTATAGTGCAGATCCACAGTAGACTATAAATAGGTCACTCTGCAGCAGTTACCAGTTATGTAGTAGTAATACGGAAGGAGCCTACTTAACATACCGACATACACTGCAACCTTCACCAAGTCCCTTCCTCCATCCTTTAATCTCAAAAGTAGAAGGCAAGCCATTTACACAGTGAATTAGTTCAATATAAGATGCTCAAGCTTATCGCAGTTTACGTTGAGATATAAACTGTGGTTTGCACTATGCAAGTCCTGAAATTCAACTGTATAGTCATCATTGAGAAATTTTTAAGACATGTTGTAATTGATGTGTGGCATTTTGACTTTACTGCACCTTTGTTGCTTAAGCCTTTGAGTACTGAGTGTTCTATACCCTGGTTTATAACTACTAAGCAACTTTTGCCATAAGTGGACAGATAATGTGTGGAACACTATGACTCCATCAAATGATGATTAATACAGATTGTTTTCATTACTTTCTAATTTCTATCATGTTCAGCATAACATGGGAAGCTACGGAGAACTTTCTGCGTTTTCCCTTTTTTTGATACTATGGATCTCATATCTAAGTTTACATTCAAAGCAGTGTTGGGATGTGCTACATTGTTGGAGATGCCGTCCTTTGGATGAGACATTAAATTGAGTTCCTGTCTACCTGCTCAGGTGGATATTAAAGATCCCATGGCACTATTTGAAAATAGGTGGAAGGTTCTCTCCCAGTGTACTGACCAAAAAATCTCCCAAAATAACTGTGGTCATTCATTTCAAGACTTTGTGGGACACTGCTGCCACGCTTGGCTCCAAAACAGACCGCACGGTACTGTACAATATATCTTGTGAAGTGCTTTGGGACATCCTCCTGACATGAAAAGCGCTCTATAAATGTAATTTTGTTGTTGTTGTATTCTTCCTCCATTCAATGGGCTCCAATCTGCCCCATGTCTCCCACCCGACCCGCCTTACCATCGGTGGTCAGGCTTTCAGCCTCTCTGCCCCCACACTCTGGAACTCCATCCCACGGTCCCTTCACCTCGCTTCCTCCCTTGTCTCCTTCAAGGCCGGTCTCAAGACCCTTCTCTTCGATCGTGCCTTTGGTCTTCCTTCCACCTCTCTGCCTTGCCTCACCCCTACCCCACCCCTCCCTCATGCTCGGGCCCCCGACACCTGACTGTTCAGCGCTTTGGGACGTCCTCCCGACTTGAAAGGTGCTCCATAAATGTAATTTTGTTGTTGTTGTATTCTTCCCCTTTTCCTCATTCTCTTTTTCGCTTCTGGAGATGATATTTTCATTCAATCTAACGAGCATATCAAAAACATTTCTTACCATTATCTTGTCCCAGGAGCAGAGAGTACATGCTTCTGAGCCCAAACACATTCAGGAAGTACCACGATGCGGAGCTCACCCTAATTGTAAACCAAAGTGAAACATTAGTTCGAGAGTAATGAAAACTGGTTAAATTGAACCAACAACGAACAATGCTCCTGCTCAGCCAGTTTCTTTTTAATATAGTTTCTCTTCCTCTACCTCACATGTAGATAGGGGTGTGTGTATGTCCATGAATGCATGTGGATGGAGTACAACAACTTGCATTTATATAGGGCCCTCCATGCTGGGCGGCGTCTCGAGCGCCTAACAACGGCGGAGCCCAAGGCTGAGCCAGGGGAAGGCGGAAGGTGACCATAGGCGCAGTCGAAGAGGAAAGTCTTCAGGCGTGACCTAAAGATGGGGAGGGAGGGTGTGAGGCAAAGGGGTTGAGGGAGGGAGTTCCAAGGATTCGGGTAGTAGTGGCTGAAGGCACGGCCGCCAATGGTGGAGTGAAGAATTCGGGGAAACATGGAGGAAGCCGGACCCAGTAGAGTAGAGGCAGTGGGTATTGCTGTGGGAGAGAGGTTAGAGAGATAGGGGGGTGCCAAGTAATGGAGGAATTTAAACACTAGAGTGAGGATCTTGAAGTCATTCCACTCTGTGACAGGGAGCCAGTGGTGTTTGGCAAGAACTGGAGTAATCAGGGTACGAAGTTTGGTGCGGGTGAGAATGCGGGCGGCGGACTTTTGAATGAGCTGGATTTTGTGAATAGTGGAGGGAGACCTGAGAGGAGGGCATTAGAGTAGTCCAGTCAAGAGGTAACAAAGGCATGGACAAGGTTTTGGCAGCTTTTGGGGTGAGGTATTGTCAGAGACAGGCAATGTGGCAGAGTTGGAAGAAAGCGGTGCTGGTCAGGGACCGGATGTGGGGGAGGAAGGATAACTGGGGATCGAACCTGACGCCTAAGAGAGGTACTGAACTGTGCAGAATGAGGATATGAGTGAGTGGGATGAAAGAAACAGATAATAATCACAAGTTTAATGGTCCTGAAAATTCCATTTAAAAATCAATAGAACAGCTTCATTTTCAGTCAGCTTGGAGTCTCAAGCCCCTTGTGTGCATACACATATTCATCACTGTGACCCAGTGACACTCACTCCTGACTTACTTCAATGCAGAACCTTGAATATACATTGTTCTTTGCCCCTTTTAAGAAACTTGCTTTTGTTAGTTGAATTCTCAAAGTAAATGCTTCAAACTCCACAGCTCTGCTCTTTAAATGCAATTGTATGAATTACTTCTTCCTATGACATTAATTTTCCCATTATCTACGAGTCATCTGATGACCTAGGGATCGAGCTGGGTTAAAATGCTAAATTCCAATCTCAAATTAACATACTATCACTGTGTCTTGGAGGACAAGATTAGAGGTAGAAATTCCTCACGGTTTTAGTCTTAAAACCATGGTTTTAGAATTAAAGAGTAAACAGAACTTTGGAAAATTCTTAATATTATCTTTCATTTTGTATACTATTTTTCATTTTAAGAACTAATTTATGAACTCAAAATTAAGATTGAATTTAAGAACTTTCCAAAATTCTGCATAATTTTAAATGTAAGACAATGATTTTAAGGCCTTGAGAGAATCAATTAAGATTCCGTTTAATTAAGTTTAAGTCTAAACACCAACTTGAACTAGTTAAAAATTTCTCATAGGATATCGAATAGCTTTATAGACTATGTGGATTACAACAAGCATAGATGCTGAAACCTCAGCCACCAATGTGGGGATGGAGAGGGACGTGCAGAGGGTGCAAGAGGAAGAATGGAGCTGAAGAAAATTATGGAGGGGCAAAAGCATGAAGGAACAAGGAGCCAGTGGATTCTGAGGAGGAAGGAGGTGATGGACATGAGACGCAAAATATAGAAGATAACAACACAAGAATTTGTTAGACAGCAACAAATTCTACATGAAGCATGATGTGTTTAACATACCAGGAAGCATCTAATGAAAGTAGTTCAATTCCTTGCTGTAACATGGGCTTAAAACGCAATGTCAGAGGAAATGGAACCTTAGCTGTAAAAAAAAAGGAAAATACTTAATAATAATAAAACCATTTCTTTTTCCATTTACTGTAAGATTTGCACTTAACATTTTGGTTAAATATTTGTGTTCAGAGCAATATCAAACATGCAGCTTTGGTTTGTGTTAATGAATTTTACAAAACTATAGCAAAGGAGAAATGAGTTATCAATATGGTACAATGGGCACAGGCGCACCTAGGATTCAGCACATCATTCCTTAGAATGGTGTAAAGAAAGCCATAGGGAAAATCAATCTGGACTGTTCCCCTACACCAAACACATTGCAATGCAGATTCATCGTGGCTGCATATTCAACCCATCGATTTTCTGTATTGGGGATAATACTCATAACAGAAGAAAGAGAAAACATCTGAAAATACAAAGGGACAGGGAAAGTATAAACATGCATTTTGAAAGCTTCACATGATGTGCTGGGTCATGCTAATATGCCAACTCCTGGTGGCACTGGAGAGGACCTGAACAGGGTCTGCCTACTGTCAGGAGAATCACTGGGAGATAAGAAACAAAACCCATCCAAAAATGGAAATGGTGTTCAGTTATTAACAGCCACAGAATGGTAAGATGCAGATTGCCTCCTGCTGTTAACCTCAGTTGGCTATTGGATGGAAGTCCTAAATGAAGCACAGGTACTTCTCATAGGGAAGTCAGAAAAATAAGATTATTCTTATACATCTCCCAGCAGCCAATATAAATTATCATTGAGCTAAACAACTAGACTGCCTCAGTTGGGCAATGTGGTGGGGTTCATTTACAAAAGAAAACACAGGAAGATTGAAAACCACAGTAAACACTATCTACAATAATTGGCATTATATTAGAGGTTTGAGCATAAAAAATCATTATAACAGTTTGGGGATGCCTATATCGGGTATGCAAAATCAGTTTTACTTTCTATTCTGTTGCTGTTTATTACTTACTGGTAACAAAACCAGAGAAGGTCCAGTTGATCCAGCCACCAATGAGTATCATAGGAAGCACATTGGTGACATTCCCTTTCATCATGTCCATTACCATGGTGGGGTCTGAAAACAAAGCAGATAATGATACAGGTTTCAGTTTCAAGCTGGTCTTTACTAGCCCGTAGAAAAACTCTTAGTTTTGATACATTGCTACGCCATTACAGGATGCGTGTTTTGTTTGAGTGTCAAATGATTTCCGCTCCCTTATTGTAGCTCGGGTCTGAAACTCTGACTGTCCAACGCCTTCGGACGTCCTCTACAAATGTAATTTTGCTGTTGTACATCAGTTTAGATTTATATTAACCACAAAAATTGTCAAGTGAAGTGGTTGTATTTGTAGGCCAGTGAGGCAGCGACTTTGGGCCACAAACTGCTAAGAGGGAAGGACCGATTTATATTAATAATAATCCTTGCATTTGATATAGCGCTTTTCACGTCGGGAGGACGTCCCAAAGTGCTTCACAGAACACACTGTAAAGTGAATTGACTGTATATTTGTGGGCGAACACGGCAGCCAATTGCGCACAGCAATGTCCCACAAACAGTCATAGATTGAAAATGACCAATTTATCATTGTTTTGGGTTTTGGAGGGATTATTATTAGGCTCTGTGTGGAGTAAGGAAACTTGCCCAAGGTTTCGCCCTGCCTGGAATTGAACTCAGGTCTCTCACTTGCAAAGCGAGTGCTCTAACCAACATTTATAAGGAGGATAATCATAAGGAACGCTCCATTCCCTTTTTGAATTGCATCCTTGACATTCACCTAAACAAATGTATGGGGCCTCGGTTTAAAGTCTCACTGGAAGAACAGCAACTCTAACAAAGCAACAACTTTGAATTGACTGTATATTTGTAGGCGAAACACGGCAGCCAATTGCGCATAGCACTGTCCCACAAACAGTCGTGGATTGAAATGACCAATTTATTATTGTCTTTTTTCTTGAGGGATTATTATTAGAAGTGTGGAGTAAGGAAACTTGCCCAAGGTTTTGTCCTGCCGGGAAGCGAACCCAGGTCTCTCGCTTGAGAGGCGAGTGCTCTAACCACTGAACTGCAGTTCTCCACAATAGCGCCCTCCACCCAGGGTAGCATCTCAAAGCTCCTAAAATTATTAAAAGCTAAGGAAAACAGTGTGGAGGAATTCAAGCATAATCTTAGCAGAAGAGATGGAGGGTTGTACAACATGCAAATTTTATGACTGGACAGATAATCTTTATGGGTACTGAGCATTCAAACTGTCCTTTTTTCTTTTTTGGAACATATTTCCTTTTTCTAACACTATTTACTAAAGACATTGGACCTACCTTATCAATTACCTTTACTATTTTAAAGATCTATCGAATCAACTCTCAATCTCTTTAGTTTAACACAGCTTCATCATCCAGATAGCATGAGTTGTTGCTGGACTTAATATATGAAACCAGCATATCTTCTACATTTGGGAGTGCACAAAACTAAACACTCCAGAAGAGGTCGGAGCAGTGATCAGTGCTTCCTGCCTTTAAATTTGACACTACATAATAGTAATAAAATCCATCCCTTTTTTAAAAATGTCATTCTACTCCTCCAAACTAGCTTTTAATAATTAATATACTTGGTTCCTAAATCCCTTTGCTCATTTCCCTATCTTGGCACTTCCACATTTAGAATGAGCTCAGACAGAGGAGGAGGTTTGGCAATACAGGGAAAAATTGGTCACTCAATCTACCACAGTTTCTGTGCAATTGGCTGCTGCGTTTCACCCACAAAATACACAGTCAATTCACAATACACTATTTTCAGTGAAGTACTTTGAGACTATCAATGATGTGATAAGGCATTATATCAAATGCAAGAATTATTATTATTATTAAGATTCAGTCATACTGTGATTGCAAAATAATTCTGGCGGCTTTTGGTTTGTGCAGTTTGATCACTCTGCAATATTTGTTGTGTTCTGTGCTGGTATCACTTGATATTCACATCTCATCAGGTGACCAGGCAGATATCTTGGCTTGCCAATTTCCAATATGATGGATAATAGACGCATTACCTGTCATGGGCGAGGGAGGAACAACTTTTCTCTTGGTCTTCTTGAAAAATCCATCATCGGGGTTGTTAAAATAATACTTCCTTGTTAGGAAAGACTGAAACATTAAAAATGCAAGACATGAAAATGAGCAGAACTTAACTGTAACTGCACCACATCAACAAAATTTAATCTGGTTCAACAGAAAGGCAAGGATGTCCAATCAGGATCACTCTCCTGCCAGTATTTTAAGATATTCCAAGAAAATTTAAGGTAACACTATATATACATATATATATTTAAAAAAATACATTCTGCATGGACAGGTTCTCAAACGGCTTGATGAGTGAAAAGCTCTGAATATTAAAAGGCACTTCCCCAGCCTGGGGAAATGGGACAAAGAATGAAGAGCAATCAACTATTACAATGTTTGGAAATCGCCCAGAGGTCGGTCACTGCTCCTTTCTAGCAACAAAGTCAGGACAACCCAATTTGAGAGCATTGGTACAATTCTGAGGGAACTGCCAATTCTTCCGTACATTTGCTACTAATCACAAAACAACAGAAAAATAAGTAGAAAATCTGCCCTAGGTAAACACCCGCTTACAATCTAGCATTGTGGGTTGTAAAATTAAATGCAATTTAAAATAAGAAATTAAGGGAGAAAATAGGGCTGTCAGTGATGCTTGACACAGAGAAGCTTCAGAGTTCACAAGTGAATAATGGCCACATGGTTGGGGTACTGGAAGCAACTCGCGCCCATGGAACACCAGCAGTGGGGACCAGATCAAGGGTAGAGAAGCATATGCCAGTGAGGAGAATATTAGAAATATGATTGAACACATTGAATTTACAGCGGAAAATTAACCCTGGAGACCAGGTGAATTGAACAAAACGAAAATACACGGCCCCGAGTCATTTGTATTCTTAGCTGTTTTAGACATGACTGTTGATTCAGACAAAAATCTGGTTAATCCAATCAAAATGTCACACTGGTCGCCATTAAATGCCACTCGGGCCTTCTGTGTCTTGAGGGGCTCCATTCAGCCACGAAGGCCAGATTAGAGATGGGTGGAGTCTACCATTGATTGACAGAAGACTCCAACCCTTCACAAGCAGCTGAAGTTGGGCCATCAGTGAAGGGGCGGAGGAACGGGGAAGGACAAGGGAGGGAATGGGCGGAGTCAAATCACAATTGGTTGATTCCTGGAGTCGCTTGTGAATGGGTGGAGCCCAAACATTCGCAAGTGGCTCTAAGGCTGTCAATCACCTCAGCGCTGGTCCCCTTCCCATCCAATGGAAATGGCAATGGTGGAGGCACCGCTTCTGCTCCTCTGCTCGGTGGGAAGATGTAGCAGAACTTCAGCCAACCCCAGATACCTCTTAAGTCGGTACCAAATGGCCGTCCCCGATATGTCCGATTTAACATGCTTCCACTCTATATATAAAATACCAGCTGTACCCGTTGCAGCTTTGCTTGCAACCAAAGGATCCAATGTGGAATGTGGATTGACACAGACAGACACACTTACTTATCCTTGAAAGGTTTGATTTTCGCTTAGGCATCTTTATAATGATAAATATAAATGTATAATTTATAATCACTGGAATGTTCTCCCAACGCGAAAGGCGCTTTAAAAATGTAATTTTGTTGTTGTTGCCGCGGCTTAGCTTTGTCTGTGTTCTTTTTTTTGTTCCCGCTTCCGCTTGGCTAAGTGCATGCTCCGTGAAGCAAGATGCCACAGCACCATAGTTAGCCTGCGCGGCCATTGTGCCTCTTTGACTCGGCTGCCATCAGATGTAACTGCAGTGAAAAACCCCAAACTGAAACGCATTTTAGGTAATAACTCATGAACAATAGTAGATACACACAAAAAAATGCCCATGTCACTCTCAGCTTTAAGACCTTTCCGATGAGGTATAAATCATGTCTCTATGTCAATCGGTTATTGAGATCCTTCTTGAAGCGCATTGTGGTTTTATTAGTATAGAAGATTAAGAGTATAGATGAATTGACTAAACCTTGGGAGCCAATATATTGGGAAGGGAGGGAATAAAAAGAACATGGGAAAAGAAAGTGCACACATCATATTGTGCTCACAAGACGGTCGGTTCGGGGAATGTGTACACATTATTTGTGTTCATCAATACAATAACTATTTGGTGAGAAAATAAGAAGAAATTGTACCTGTCTGGGAATATATTTTCCATTTTCTCTCAAAATTCTACTTCGGATCAGAACTTGACTGCAAAAAAAACAAAGCATTAATAAAATCTTTTGCCATTCAGTAAATCTGATATAAATTAATGATACAAGAGGTGGATGGAAACAACACTTCTACTGATGGTCTAATAACACGTCCAGTGGTGGTCTAAATCAATTGGGAGTTTGGGCTAGTGCATTGATGGAAGTTATTTGTAATTCTGGTTCTGCAATGAAGTATAATAATAATCCTTAATATATGTTTCATCCACAAAATATACAGTAAATTCACTTTACAGTATATTCTGTGAAGTGCTTTGAGACGTTACAAAGACGTGATAAGGCGGTATATCAAACAGGATTTACTATAAAGTGCAGTGACTGTTTTGTGCATCAAGTGGCCTTAGAGGAAATACCAGGCATAGTGCACCAAGCAGGAAATATCTACAGTGGCAATCTTACAACCAGGATGTCAGCTAGTTTTGCAGTTGAAAACATAATTGAACATCAAAAAAAACAATCTGAAACAAAATCAAAAAGTCTACGTGTACCATATTAATTATATTGCAACTGGCGAGCAGACCCCACCTAGTGGTTGCTGTGTGCAAGATTTCATTCCCTTCAACTTAACGACTTTTAAAAGTTTTTTTTCGAACAATTTTCACGAAAACTACCACCCCTTTCTTTGGGTGAAAATCCATTTGTTAAAAAATGATTTTCTCCTGATTTCAGTTTTTGTTCCACCCAGTGAATGGGATGAATGAAGCACGCACATGGGTTTCTAGGCGAATGTGTGCTTCTGTTTGCAGGATAGAGGGTTCTAGAATAAAAATAATCCTTCCATTTAATATGTAGTATCAAAGGACTTCACAGGATTTACTATAAAGTGCAGCGAATGCGTCATTTGAAGGCTACTTTTTGCACACAGCAATATCCCACATACAACCAAGAAATGAAAGACCTATTGTATCTGAGTGTTTGTGGGTCAGGACATTGGGAGAAATTCTCTTCTCTTTTTGTACAGTGCCAATGGGATCTTTAATGCCCAACAGAACAGACAGACAGTATCTGGGCTTCAATCCACATCTTTCTCAGAAGTCAGGAGTGCTACCAAACGGGCCGGGCTGACACAAGCACTTTGTATGTTGTGAGTATATGTGCTTGTGTGTGTGTGTGGGGGGGGGGGGGGGGGGGAGAGGGGGTTATCATTCATTTCTGTTTTATGCCCATTCGGCTGCACAGTAAAACTCGCACAAGTCGTCTTTTTATAAATCGTAGAATCGCCTAAGTCATACATGCACCCGAGTCCCTCAGCAACCCCCCACCCCGCGCCCCCCTTAGCAGAGAGAGAGGGGGAGGGGGTCAAAGATGCAGGGCGTCTCCATGGAGATCGTGCAGGCCGGGCTGAAGCCGGCTCACGGCCTCCTCACCTGTCGGAGACTTGCTCCTCGCTGAGCTTCTTGTCGCTCTGCAGCAGGATGGAGATGTAGTGCCTGATCAGACCTACGAAGAAGGTGATGAAGACGATGGGCAGCACCACCCACAGCCTGATGTTGGAGTCCAGCAGCAGCTCCGGCTCCGCCATCTTCCACCGGAAAAGGGCCGCGGACTGGGAGGGCGTCGTGCGTGATGACGTCACGCTAACCGCCGAGCTGACGTTGCCCGGCAGGAGGTGGGGGGGGGGGGAGGGAGGGCGGGTTAAGAGGGCGCTGTCTGAGCAATGCGTGACGCTGCAATATAAACGAACGCTGCGAGACGTTCATTCCACGCGAAAGGCCACCCTCGCGCCAAATGCCGGGGGCCGGGGGAGGTCGGGTGGGAAAGAGAAAGAGAGCAGATGCGGCTGGCGGGAGAACTACAACTCCCGTGATGCTGCGCTCCTGCGCGCACGCGCACGCGAGGCCGCCCCGCCCCCTCCCCCTCACACACACACCACCCGCCGGGCTGGCCGTCTGCGCAGGCGTCGATCTGAAAGTTTGGCGGGGACTGGTCGGCTCCGGGCCTGCACGGCCGCCGCTATGGTCGCCAAGAGGAGGTTGTCGAAGTCAGTTGAAGAGCAGCGTGACCCTGGCGCGAAAGCCATATCAAGTAAGGAGGCAGCCCCCTGGGGGGTCGCTCCGAGTCGCCTCCCTGCATGAAGGGTGCTCACAAATGCAAGTTGTTGTTGTTGTTGATGACACTCCCCCCCCACACACACCAAGGATGGGGGTGACAGGGTGGGGTTGGCATCGTGAAGCCTGGACAGCCACAACATCTGTGTAGCGCCTTTCACGTCGGGAGGACGTCCCAAGGCGCTGGACAAGACGAGGGTTGGCATGGATGAGGGTCTCAGCGGCCTCTGACGGGAGAGGTAGTGGCGGAGGCGGGCGATGTTGGGGAAGCGGGGTGGGTGGGGGGGGGAAAGGCAGAACGGCTCAAGGCACGGTTGCGAGGTTCAGAGAACAGTTGAGGGTTGAAAGAAACAAGACACCGAGATTCCCCGCTGGCTCCGTGAGACGGAATGTGCATCTGGGTAAGTTGGTGCTGTCGGCGCCTGCGGTGAGAAGATGCGGACAGGAGCCAAGCAGGAGAGCCTCTGTCTTGTCGACGTACAGCTGGATCCTGCTCTCGTCCAGGATTTATGTCCGACAGGCAGCAGTGCTCCTGGAATCAAGGGTGGAGGCAAAGAGATGGGCAGCCGGCTCAAAAGGTGCTAGGTTTGTGAGGAGTTAGCTGATCTCAATTGGGGCTGCAGTTGAAGCTACAATTCACCTTAGTGTCTCAGGATAAGGGAGGAATCACCCAGCATTGCTGATCCTGATCGCTGACCGCAGACCCCTGCCCAAAGGTAAGGATAAGCTTGGGTTTGTCTACAAAGCAGATGGATGGATAGCCTATCGATACTTAGTGAATAATGACCACCTTTTGCCAATGCGCCACTGGTGCTCATGGAAGGAATAGAAGGAAAAAGGAGTAGAAGTGATTTTCTTGCCCGTCTGACCCTTAATAATCTGATCATTGCTGTGCGCAAATTGGCTGCTGCGGTCACACACAAAATATACAGTCACTGCACTTGCAGTATCTCTTGTGAAGTGATTTAGGACATCCTCTTGACCTGAAAGTCGGTATACCACATGTAAGGATTATTATTAAATATCTTTGTCAGGAGCGAAGAAGAGCAAGATTGATGGTAGAAAACCGAGCCCATCTGCCCAGGAAGGGGAGGTGGAGGACAACACTGTGTTCGTTCAGCTGCTGAAAGCATCAGGAGTGATTCTGAAATCTGGAAACCTACCAAATGAGCTAAGTATGTCATTATTTTGGAAGAATGAGTTCAAGTGAATCCCATGACCTTCATCTAAACTTAAATTCTGGGATGATGCTACCCATTTGATTTATTATGGTTGGGAGGTGTCTGGGTGGTTGTGGAGTTTGCAAGGAGCTCTTACTTAATTGAGATGTCATTGCATGTTTAAATTCATTAAAGTCTTATTCTGTATTATTATTTTAGCTTTGGACCAAGCAGTGTTCCAGAAGAAGCTTTTTCAAGGTCTACGGAAACACCCACACTATCCAAACGTAAGATTTTATTCAAATGATATTTCAGTAACTTTGCAGTTGAGTGTTAAGCCTCTGTCAGCATTAGGAAATATTCAATAAAACGGAAACGAATATGATCCTGTGCAATGTTGTTATGAACTTACACATACTGTTGGTCACAGTGCAAGGTATGTTTGCTTGCAGAGGCTAATGGAACCCCCAGCATTCCCCTGTGATGCTGATCCCTACCACTTTTGATTCTAGCAGAGTGTCACCTACACAAGAGAAACAGAATACACATTATTCCCCAAACTTTTTGTATTCATTTTGTATTAATCTAAAACCAAATGTTCCCTTCTGGATGTAGTTTGTAAAAATATATTTCATTTTACATCCTAAAATGCAGAATTGTGTCAAGAGGTGAATCTATTGGTAAGCAGCCAGGTGAGGAATGGTAAGTCCCACACCAGGACTTTGAATACACAGTCAAGGCTGACAACAACAACAACAAAATTACATTTGTATAGCGTCTTTCATGTCTTTCACATCGGGAGGACGTCCCAAGGTCATTGGAGTGTCAGTGTCACTCCAATGCAGTGAGGACAGGGAGTCTGTTGGTGTGGTGTTTCTTGAAGAAGCAGGACAGGTGCTCTCCCTGTGATTGCCAAGATCTGTTAAGATAGCAATTTAAGACAGGTTGCTTATGAGGAATAAGAAGGAGGAAGATCAGCTGCAGTTAGTTTCCAAGCAGTTGGTCCCAGAGCAGTCTTGGCAGATGGGTGTGCGTTGGCTGCCAATGTCTGGGGATTTGCAGGAATAATCCTGGATGATGTGGTTTTGTGGTATTTACAGGTTCTGCAGGAGTTTATATCTGGTTTGGAGTCGCACATTGAAGACCGAGATAAGTTCAGGAACTGTCTTTTAGCCTGTGGACTGTCTCAAATGGGAGAATCAAGGTACAGTGTGTTTGGATTAATTATATGCAGCATATAGCAGAGATTGATTAGGGAGCTGAGGTGACCATCATTGGGTACTTCAATTGGAAGCCTAAATGTTCAGTGCAAAAGCTTGAGTTCAATCTCCAGCCCAATAACACTCTTCAAAAACTACCAGCTACCATATCTTAAAAAGTTTTATTTTGGAGACGAATGGATGAAACGTGTTTCTGGGATATTTTCTTGTGCAAATTGCCTACCGTGTTTGCCTACAAAGTACCCAGTCACTGCACTTTCCAGTAAAACCTGTAAAGCACTTTGAGACGTCCTACCAAAGTGATAGGCACTACATCAAACACAAGGTTTATTGTTATGTAATGTGTGATCTCTTTATTTACAGCAATGCAGGGACCTCTTACCAGGAAAGTCTGATAAAGCTGCTTCTGGGGATTGAGGTACTACAGGTAAGAGAATTGTGGGATATGTAAACTGTACACTGACTCAAATTTAGATTACACTGCTCTACTCTAAATTTTGTTTCTCCTTTCCTTTTAGCCTCCAGTCATGAACACTTTATTTGAAAAAATTCCCGAATTTATATATGACAAGTAAGATCCACTTCTGTTCTTCAGTGCAATCTATGGTTAAAATGGAACCGTGGGACTTTCAGCTATTGGGGAGGTTTGTCTCTGGTCTTGTTAAAATGTTGTGACCTTGTGCAATTGGGAACTTGCAGACTCGCACAAACGTTTTGGTTAACCTTTCAAAGCAGTTTTCCTGCATCAAACACTTTGGGTTCTATGGGGCATTTCACATTGACGTTGTGCGTTGCTTTCACGTCATCCCGACGTGAAAGGCGCTCTATAAATGGTATCTTGTTGTTGTTGTTCTTGCATGCGCATTGCTGCTGGGAGGATGTGCATCTTGCTCTCTGCCAAAGCTGATCTGTCGTGTTTGTACTTGGGGTGGGGGGGTACAGGTGACTCACCGACCATTAATCTTCCCTCTCCTGTGAAGCAACAGCTGACTCTCTACACTACACTGTCTCTTACTCCAAATTGACCGGTGCCCGAAGCCTTGGTATAAGCTTCTGTGCCTCAATATAGTTGCCGCATCTCTGCACTATGCAATGAGTGTTGGAGGATGTTACTTTTTTTTCATTATATCATCTATATATAGTCTATTTATATATATGTATATATACACTTTATGAAATATATATTTCACCTACAATCCACTTTACAGTGTATCTTGTGATGCACTTTGAGATAGATTAAGGAGTGTTTAAAATAATGAGGGGAGTTGACAAGATAGTTAGCTAGATTTTCCCTCTGGTAGAGGGAATCCAAGAAAGGGAAAATTAGAGCTAAGCCAGTTTGAAGTTGGATCAAAAAATATTTCTTCACACAAAGGCTTGGCAAAATGTAGAATCACTGCTGAATTAATTGGGATGTTTAATAAAACTGGGAAATGTCTCAATGGGCTTGAAGACCTCCTGCTCCTAATATGGTAGTAATACATTTTGATTGAAAAAAAAGTTTCTTACTAAAGCTATTCTTCCTAATATAGCTTCAATTTGCAGTATGTGGTCCCTGAGGAAGGAGACTTCCACATAAGGGACTTAAATTTATGCGATTTTCTTTTTTCCTGCGTGTCTTGCATCAGAATTAAGCAGCTTTTCATATTGGACTAAGCCAAGGTACACAGTACAGCTTACAGTCTGCAAATATTATTATTCTTACAGCTCTCCCAAGTTGGCAACCTGAAGTATAATATTTAATTTTGAAGTTTCATTGACATTTGAAAGCCAGTAAGAAGATGGATGTGTGTGTGCACTGCTGATCCCCCTGACTTTGAGAGCACTGGCACTGATATCAACTTTATAGCTGATGCCAAGACTAGATAATGTAATAAATTGGTATCGTTTAATATTGATATTGTTTTGCTGTTCCATCTACCACTCCACCCCCACAAAACAAAAAGGCCTGTTTTCAGTTCACTTCCTGCTCCCTATGTGTTTCCTATGCATATCATACATGTGCAGCGCGCAAGAAATGGTGTTGATGGAAACCTGGAAGTCCATTTTTTAGCAACTGGGACGGCAGCCAGTCTACACACTGTTATAAGGGAGCATCTTATAATAGGTTTCTACTTCTATTCATGTTCAGTTGGTAGCACTCTCGCCTGTCGTGTCTGAAGGCTGTGGGTTCAAGCCACACGTTAGGACCTTGAATTCACAAGTCTAGACTGACACTCCAATGCAGTGCTGGATGTGCTGCATTGTTGGAGGGTGCCGCCCTTTGGAAGAAGAGTTAAACTGAAATCCCATCTGCCTGATCAGATGGATATTAAAGATCCCATGGGATTATTCAAAAAGAGAAGGGAGTTTCTCCTGGTGTCCTGACCATCAGTCTTCTGATAAGATTGGCTACTCACTTTGTGGCTGTTTGTGCTGTGCATGTTTGACGATGAATACACAATTACAAAACTTTACTGACGTGCTTTGAGACATCCTCCCGATTTGTAAGGCGCTGTATCAAATGGCAAGGATTATAATTTTTTTTGAAAAAAATTAACCGACTCTCCTTCAACATTACTTTGTGGCAGAGAATTCCACGTTTCCATTACCCTCTGATAATTTGTGGCAATTCACATTTCTTCTTCACTTTCAGTGCACCTGAGGATGGGATTAACATGCCCCGGCTAATCATCAATCAGTTTAAATGGCTGGACAGAATCGTGGATAGCAAGGTAGGAATATACTGTTTTTCTAAACCTTTTGAACTAAGGTGTTTTGGTTTGAACAAAAAAAATATTTTCGCAGGATCAGATACCCTCAGAGAATTCAATCCATTTTTGTTTGCCAACTTCTGAAAGCACTGAATCTTCTGAGGTGCCAGTCGCCCTCCTGTACAGTGGTTGTTCTTCACAGGCTGAGTAGTGATTGTTGGTGCAATATTCAACAAAAACAACTTACATTTATATAGCGTCCTTCACATAGGCTAATGTCTCGGATTGCTTTGCAATGATGGGGTGGATGCCGAAAAGGGGAGGGAAATGGGGAGGTTGAAGAGGTAGATTTTAAGGCAGGTTTTAAAAATGGATAGAGAAGGGGGTCGCGAGGTAGAGAGAAGGTACAGTATATTCTGTGAACCGCTTTGAGACGCCAATGATGAGATAAGGCGCTATATCAAATGCAAGGATTATTATTGGTGAGCATCAAAACATTATTTAAGTCATATGCTTCTGCTTTTGTCCAGCTAGAACATAAAACTATCATTAATCAAGGCAAAAGGTACCCCTCGTAATCGATCTGAATTGCTGCTGTTTTTCTGTTACATATCGGGATCTAATTTGTGATATTCACAAACTTTTGCGTTCATTTTGACTTCTGGATTCAAAATACATGCAAATTGAGCATCTCATGTTGGCAAAAACAGAGCAAAACACCAAATGGGAAGTATTTTTATTCGGATTTTGGGATTCGTAATTTCAAAATCTAATGGTCGCAGATAAGAAACTGAAATGAACACAAGGTTGCAAATTAGCCTCCACTATTGCTGTGCAGTGCTTTGCTTTATTTTTCCTTTTAAAAGTTCTTTCTTTTACTTCACATGGAATGTGTTTTTGGAAGACTGGGCCATACAGTTATTGCTTACTCACCAGTTCGCTTCATTCTAGGAGATGACTAGTAAAATCATGCAGCTGATCAGCGTTGCACCCCTGGAGATCCAGCGAGACATCATCACCAGTTTGCCAGAGATCCTGGAAGACGCACAGCACAATGAAATAGGCAAGGAGCTTAAGTACGTCTGATCCAAACTGTCAGCGTATTTCCTGGGGACAGAACTTTATTCTTCTTAAAGCTGCTTCAGATGTTTTGTAACCACAATGATGCTCTTATCAGGAGCACACCCATTATTTCCTTTGAGTATGTCAAGCTCAAACGTTAGGCTGAGATTCCAGTGCAGCACGAGGGAGTCAGAGGTTCCATCCTTCGGATGAGACGTTCCACTGAGGTTAACGCGTAACCAAGGTTAACGTCTCATCCTTCGGATAATAAAATTGCTATGTGCATATTGGCTTCTGAGTTTGCCTACAAATAGTCACTGAAATTCACAGTGACGTTTTACATATAAACATAAGAACTGCTAGCCGAAAGAAGATCAAAGTTCATCTAGTTCGCCTTTCACCATCCTGGCAGTCGCATACACCTGTCATGTCTCAAACTATATGTTGTATCCCGAGATATTATTTCCTAACAGAAATCTCTGTAAATTGTTCTTGAAACAACATTTGTGAAGCGCTTTGAAATATCTCAACAATTTGATAAGGCATGATATCAAATGCAATGATTATTGCACCTATAAAAGTACTGTATAAGTCTTATAATGTTGAGATGAACACTTCAGCAAAGTAGCCTGCAAACATGTTTAAAAATATCACCTGGAGATTTAGAAGAAATAACACTGAAATCCAATGACTGTATGTGCTATTGTGGAGTTTGCCAGTGCCAGGCTAACGTACATGCACGTACACCAATTAGCAAGGAAAATAAATGTCTGATCGGTTTGTTTCAACAACAATAACTTGCATTCTGATAGTGCCCTTCACACAGGGTAGTATTGTGGAGCGCTGAGTTTCAAATGGAACAGGGGCTTCAGAACCAATTCCATGAATAACTACTATATCTCAAAACTATCACAAGGCAGAGAGGAAGGAGACTCACAATCTTTTCTCCGCATTCCTGTTAGTACAGTAAATCCTGTGAAGCACTTTTTCCTTCCGACTTGAAAGTTGCTATATCAGATGTGAGGATTATTATTACCTCAAACATTGTGAACACTTTTGTTTCTTTCCAACAGTTTGCTGTTGCAGCAGAACACTCAGCTGACAGTACCTATCTTAGATGCTCTCTCCAGCCTCAATTTAAGGACAGAGCTATTAGCTGAGGTGAGATATTCTTTCTTCATGCGCAAGAATATAGTCTCTGCCGTGTGGTGGGAATCTGGTAATCATGCCCTATTCTAGTGCTGGTTGGAATTTTATGGATCCAACTAAATTCAATCTTAATTTGGAAGCCGGTACTTTCTAAAACAGTAGAAATCTTTCTCATTCGGGAAAGATTTTAATTTTATTTGTTTTGTGTGTAGGTGCGTCAATCTGTCATGTCAACCCTGTCTGCAGTGAATCTTGAAGATCTGCCTGTAGTCATCAAGTTCATTCTTCACGCCATCACAGCAGCCGATGCAGTAGAGGTAAAACCCGCATGTTATACATTTTCAAAAAAAGTGTTTGGCTCATGTGCAATTCATGTTACAGCAGATTGTTGTTTGGTGCCCAGAGACCTTTTAAATGAGACTCATATCTGAGCCACAACTGGCACCGCCTTCCATCACCTCCGGAATGTCGCCAGACTACGGCACTACCTCACCCCTCACGCGGCTGAAACTCTGGTCCACGCCTTTATCACCTCAAGGCTGGACTACGGGAACTCTCTCCTCGCCGGCCTTCCCGGCACCTCCCTCCACAAGCTGCAGGTCATTCAGAACTCTGCAGCTCGTGTACTGTCCCGCACCAGGCTTCGCGACCACATCATTCCCACCCTCACTCACCTCCACTGGCTCCCCATCCCCCAGAGGATCGAATTCAAGATCCTCATCTTCACCTACAAGGCCATTCACGGCCTCGCTCCCTCCTACCTCTCCGACCTACTATCGCCCTACCTACCTGCCCATACCCTCCGTTCCTCTGGCTCCGGTCTGCTCCACATCCCCCGCCCCAACCGCCCTACCATCGGTGGCCGGGCCTTCAGCCTCGCAGCCCCTAGGCTCTGGAACTCTATCCCCCAGTGCCTTCGTCTTGCCTCCTCCCTTTCCTCCTTCAAGGCCGGTCTCAAGACCTTTCTCTTTGACCGAGCCTTCAGCTCCCCTCTCGACTCTCTACCCCCTCCTCGCTCCCTCCCCTCACCCTGACCATTTCCCCCCTGCTCGGGTCCTGACCCAACTGTACAGCGCCTTGGGACGTCCTCTCGACGTGAAAGGCGCTCAATAAATGGAATCTTGTTGTTGTTGTTGTTGTTTGAGCCCGAGCTCAAGGAAAATAATAATTCTTGCATTTGATATAGTGCATTGTCACGTCGTTGAGCCATCTCAAAGCACTTCACAGAATGCATTGCAAAGTGGATAGAGTGTATTGTGTGGCGAAACGCAGTAGCCAATTCCAAGTGTCCCACAAATAGTCTTGGATTGAGTGACCACATTTTTTTGGTGGGGGGGGTGGATTATTACCCCTGTAAAGTGATCCGCCAATCGAATAACAACTGGGTTCCTACTTACTGCTAGATGTGGAGTAGGGAAACTTCCTAAGATGTCGTACTTCTCTTGCAGGTGATCTCAGAATTGCGCAGGAAGATTGAGCTGGAGTCTTGTGTGCTTCCCCCACAGCTGCAGCCCAGTCAGAGCCAACAAACGTGCCGGAATCCTGGCGGGTATGGTACCAAAGAATCAGCTTTAAGGGCAGATGTTGGAATGGGAATACACACATTTAAACTGTAACATCGGAATTGTAGCATCCTGATTGGTGTCCTGGTTGAGATCAGCTGAGCATTGGCTGTATTTTGAACCCTTCCAGTCTGTACCTTTACCCACTAGGCTAATATAAACAGAAGCATGTACCCAAATCAGACTGTTCTATAGCAGGGATCCAACAGGACATGTTTCATTCCACACCAGAGAAATAACAAACTAATTCATGCTCTATTTTTGTATCTAGAACTTCAATAAATCAGGTGAAACATGACTGTGTTGGCATTATGTTTGATGTCATAAAAGTCTCCGTGAGGTTTCAGAAGACAACAGCGGAAGCCTGGATTAAGGTGATTGAACTGCTGGTTCTGTACAATGGATGTTTTTAAACTTAGTGATGTTGAACATAGCAAAGTCTGGTGTAATATTGTAATATTCTCATGCCCCTGATTATGAAAGAGAGCAAATTTCCTGCTATAAGAATGACTACGATAGACCTTTTTGAAATCCTTTTGCAAAGTTTTGAGGCTTTTTGTATGGCTTCAAAGACCTGTTGTCCCTAAATTATTGTCAGGATTGTCAAATACACAACTTGTGATTGAACTCAGGAAACATTTGAAAAGTGGCATAAGTCACTCATGTGATTTGTGCACTGCCCACAATGTATATAATTCCTAGATGTTATCACATAAATCATTCTTTTCCATGTATTTGCACTGACAAACATGACTTCTACATTGCTTTTTGTGCACAGGCTCATCCGTCTTGGAGCGAATCCATTGCTGCAACTTTCCCAAAACATTGTCCAAAAAAGCGAGTCGTGTTAGGGCAGGTGTAAGAGCATTTGCTGTAAACCCTGACACTGGGTAACTAGTAGAGGGATGGAGGTGTCAGAAAGCAGGGTTGCAGTCCTGCTTCCACATCATGTGGTGGGTGATCTTAGGATATTGACCCCCCTCCAGGGGAAAGATGCAGAGTGGATACCACTCTTTTCCCTGCAAGCAGAACAACCAGTTTTAAATCTGTTATTATCTCCCAGTCAAGTAGAGAATGATGAGTGGCCTATAGCAATTTGGAGGAGAATGAAACGTGGGAGGAAGAATCTTTCTAAAAATGAAATGTCCAGATCAGTAAAGCTCAGGATGGACTGACATTGTAACTTTTCTTTCAGGCTATTGAGAAAGTAGATTCCGCTGCAGAACACAAGGTAAAAGATTTCTACCTGTATTTCATTCTTACAACTGTTGTCAATGGAGCTTTGTAAAGAAAATGTAGTTTACTCTCACTCAAGTTAAATGTTATTAACAGTAATAAGAATTAGTGCTGGGTGCTTGGAATGCATCTGCAGTAATTGTGTTTGGTCAGCCTGACGTTTGGCCCATTGACGTGCTTAAGAATATACAAACTAGACTGATCTTTCCACACATATATATGTCACCTTGGAATGGAATGTGCACTCTCTCCCTTGGAGGGTCGCCTTCTGCTTACCTAATTTCAGAACATGCTGGTGTGAAGCCTGGGAATTCCATTGTGTGCTTTGGGGTACTCCTGGAGCTTAACAAATAGTTTACAATTGCGGGCACTGTCCACCAAGCTTCCTGCTGCTTCTCCAGATAGGATCATGCATCCTGTTAGGGCTTTACTGGGTTAACAAAAGCCAAACGGGAAGAATCCTTACCCGTAGTGATCAGTTTTCTCCTCCAAGTCGTGGGAGCTGGTCTGTCATCAGCAATGCTTTGGAGTAATGAAGGATGAGTGTGCTGCCTAATGGTCAGGCGTAGCTGGTGTGAGACCCGAGCTGAATACATACATCATATGTAACATGCACCATAACCCATTTGTAACCAATGGTACTGCAGCATCTACTGAATTGCTAAAAATAACAGCCTCTTTGCTGCATCTTCATAACAAGCATGATTTTTTAAATCTTATCAGACTCTTTATTACATGTGGGAACGTGCCTCCTTAAATATTAATTGTGATTTACCAAAGACATTCGTTTATACAGTAAGTAAATATTCTCAGTACATTACAATGTTTCACATTCTATTTCGCCTGTAGGTCATAGATCTGCTAGTCCTCTTGATACTTCACACAACCAACACAAATAACAGCAAGAAACAGGTGGAGAAGCTGCTACGTAATAAGGTCCGTCTCGGAAACATCCGGAACCAGCTTCTCCAGGTTGCGTTCAAGAGCCATGCTACGGTTAGTATTGTTGGCCTGTCTCAATGAACAATGACACGCTTCATCTATTTATTTTGGTCAGCCAGGTGTTTGACACATACAGAAACCCATCTCCAAGTATGCCATCATATGTGGAAATTTCCTTGGGTTTGGAATCGATCGTGTGCTCTCTCTCCCTGGAAGGATAGCTGCTGCTTACCTAATTCCAGAGTATATTAGGCGCAGCTTGGTGAGAATCAAAGCTTACAAGCCCCAGAGTGTGCATTAGGTACTGCTGGAGTTCAACCAGCTAAAACCATTGAGACCACTGTCTAGTAAGTTTCCCCATTGCTGTCCAGTTAGAATTACTTTACCTGTTAGGGTTTGGGCTTGCTGGGTTAACAGGAGTTGAGTATGAAGTCACTTTTGTTCTGCTTGAAGGTAGGCTGGCTGGAGTCAGCATTGCCTTGATGAAATGCAGATTCAACAGGTTCAGGAGCCAAATTACCGAGGCTCTCACAGAGGGTTGACTTTTTTTGTCAAGCATGTCACTACATTCACCCAAAAGTGACCCTCCTAAGAGGATAGTTTTTCCCTCTTTCTTCCCCCTCCCTCCACATAAAACACAGGCCTACCTGTTGTGAAATTAGAGTGAAACGGAGAGGTCTGTTTTACAACCGGTCACTAATGTAAGACAAAACTAAAACTAACATTTATACAGAGAGTGGTGAGAATTTGATACTCATTTCCAGAAGCTGTAGTTGAAGCAGAAAGCATCAGTTGTTTTTAAGAGGAAATTCTATCCATATCCGAGAGAGAGAGGAATAGATGGGTTGTGGTGGGGGGGTTAAGAATGGGTAAGGCCTCATGTGGAGCATAAATATTGGAATGAATTAGCTTGACTTTAGATTCTACACAGTTCATTAATTTGAGTAGAAGACCTTTGTCAGGATATCTGATGAACAGTCACATCCAAAATGCTCAACTGCTTTTGTCAAATGCTGATTAAACTTTCAGTAGAATTTCTGCTTTTTTGATGTTGATTTCAGATTTCTAGCAAAGTTTGATTTTGAACAAAATTGGTACAAGCATTTTCATGATAAATAGACCTGTTTTGAAACTGCTTCAACCTTTTAAGTTCTCTGCCTTATTTCATTTACCTGCAGTATAGTGTATGAAACATTCACTGCAGTGCTGAATGTGCTGAATGATGAATATTGGAGGTGCTGTCCTTTGGATGAGAAATTAGACTGAGGTCTCATCTGCCTGTTTTTGAGTAGACATTAAAGATCCTGTGCTATTAATGGAAAAGAGAAGGGAATTTCTTCCAACACACTGGAAAACAATGCTCCATATAAATTGGTTTATTCACTGGTTGTACTTACCATGTTTGGGCGCAGTAAAGGCAAGACAATAGGATTGGTTTCTGGAAGGATAATCCTATAAACCTCGCATTTGGTATAGCTCCTTTCATGTCAGAAGCACATCCTAAAGCACATCCACAGGATTTACTGTGAAGTGGAGTGACTTTTTAGGTGAACATGCAGCCCAATTGCGCACAGCAATGTCCCACAAACAGTCATGAAACAAATGAGCAATTTTATTTTGGGGAATTGTTGGCCAAAGCATTGGGAGAAACTTCTCTTTTCAAATAGTGCCATGGGATCTTTAACATCCATCTGAACAGGCCGACGGGACCTCAGTTTTAAAGTCTAATCCGAAGGATGCCACTTCCAACAATGTAACATCCCCCCAGCACTGCGTTGGAGTGTCATCTTTGACAATGTGATTTCAAATCCCAAAGTGGTACTTGAACCCACAATCTTCTACCAACTGAGCCAGGCCTCTAATCATTTCATGTCCAGAGAGAAAAGCTCCAACCTATCCAAAGTTTCTTGATCATTCTATCCAGTCATCCCTGGTAACATCCTTTGGTGAAGAATATTCTGTGCTAATTATTCTTTTCTCTTTCAGGTTGTTCGCGAGTACTTTCCCACCATACTGTCTCTGGCCCAGACCCTGCTGAGATCCACAGATCCAAGTGTGGTATCATTTGCCTGCGAGATGTACAAGCTTGCTTTTAGAACGTTTGACTCCTATTGTCAGCAAGTAAGAAAAGTCCTACATCTTAAGTGTGTTCCATCTTACCTAATATTTTCTTTTAAACATTCTCCTGCGCTGCACAGTGGTACTGGTTATTGGAGCACCAATGTTATCTGCTGCAAAGTGGTAGGATGTAGGTTTGCATCAGCTCCAGGGAAGAGACACAATGAAGCGACGTGGAAGCTGGAGGGATCTAAAAAAACTGCTTACAATATCTTTCTTTGATCCTGCAAAATTGGAATTACCAATTCTATTCAGCCAGTGCCACATTCATTGTTTCTTCTGACGTATGGATGGAAATCCTGTCTGATATTCCTGATGACGAAAATGTGCATTGTTCAAATAAAATATTGGTGTGAAAAACGTGAGTTTTCAGGACTAGTCAACGTGACAATTCACATTTTCCACCGTTGGGGAACTCTTTTCAGAAGTTGCTTTTTCACCCGTCTCCTGCCCATTGTTAACACATAGATTTGCTGACAGAAGTTAATTTCTGTCCTCTCTCTCTGTCTCTCTTTCTCTCGGCTCAGGAAGTTGTTGGTGCGCTGGTGACACATGTTTGTAGCGGTTTCACTGCAGAGGCCGATGTCTCCCTCGATGCCCTTTTAGACCTGGTTTCTCACAGCTTGTCTGCTATGGCTGTCTATGCTGTTTTTGTGAAGGTAAGCAGTCAGCTATTGCAAACCTCTTAAGTACTTTTGCTCTGTCCTTTTTACAATTTGTGTTTTGAATGTCAGCTGTTGAGCTCCAATGATGTGATAGCAGATCGGCAGTGAGTGACAGGTGTAACACTGAGGCACCAATCATTCTGAATAATGGAATGAGTTATATTTTCTTAAAACACTGGCCTAAAGCTGCCAAAGTAGATGAATATTCATAGATCTCAAAAGAGGATGAAGAATGTCCTTCAGACCATTTGATTTAATCCTTCTAGAATACCCCTCTTCTGTCTCACCATTGAGAACCAACATCAATAGTTTTTTTTAAAGAATTCGCTCAAACAACCTTCTTTGTAAGATATTACAAGAGCTGCTGATTGCCACTGTTTTATAAAGAAATTCCTCCTCTTTTTGCAAGATTTGCCTTTCACAACCCTGATCCTATGACCTTATCCTTGTAGAATGTGAAATTGAGAGATCCAGGAAAGTTTGACAGATTTACTGGCAAGGATTCAGGGGGCAAAGTGCCCAAAAGGACTGTGGATATTTGAATGTTGGGAGTAACAGAATCCATGTTGGTCTGATAATGACTGAACTAATTATTGGAAGTAATTTTCACGGAGGATTGTTTTTATCTACAGGGAATCCTGGACTACATGGATAACTTGTCTATCCAACAGATCAGGAAGCTGTTCTACATCCTCAGCTCGCTGGCTTTCAGTAAAGGACAAGAGGGGAGTCACATTCAGGTGAACCAGAGGTCTTGTTGGTTTTTATATTTTAATATCTCGCATAACTCTTTTTAAAGGGAAGCAGAGAAACTGAACAAATGCATCTGATTTCAGGGAAAGTACTTACCATTTACCATGTTAAGCAGTTAAGCTTCATCCCAGTAGGTTGTCTCTTTCCATGTTTTAGCACTTCAAAATGCTACCCTGCGTGAAAGGCCCTGTATAATTGCAAGTTGTAGTTGTATGAAGGGGTTTCTTTTGCGTTTTATGAAATGGGGGAGATATTAGTTGAGTATCTGCATGGGGAGGTGGCAATGCTTTGTGAGCTAGTAAGAGATTCACATTGTAAACGCACATCAGCAAATGGCACTAAACGTACTGACGCATGTTGCAACACTTGAGAGAGAAAAAAGAAAGTCTAGCACAGAATATTGTTCATAAAAGAGGCTTAGAGGGAGAAGGCCCTTCGGTCCATTTGATCTCAGTTTTCAGTAGGAACAGGCATTGGAATAAAGTAGATCTTAAATTGATATTTAAATATAATAGCTGAACATTATCAGATCCAAATGTGCAGTGTGAAGATTCCCTTCTCTGGGTATTGGATCCACTTTACAAAATCTGAAGGGAGCGCTCTTGAGTCAGATACGGTGTATGATTGTTCTGTTTTGCATTGCAAGTGTGTATCAGCATTAATATGCTATTAAGCTTTGGAACTCTCTCCCTCTATCTCTCCGCCTTGCCTCCTTCCTCTCTTTCAGATCACGACTTAAGACCTTCTTCCACCGTGCTTACGGTCACCTACCTTCCCTGACTTGGCTTCAGACTCCACCACTATTAAGCACTCAGAGATGCTGCCCTGTATAAAGGGCGCTATATAAGTGCAAGTTGTTATTGTATTATTGCCCTCTGGCATGAGGGATTACTAACAACCCTTGTCTTTGTGTGCAGGATGACATGCACATTGTGATCAGGAAACAGTTGTCCAGCACGATATCCAAGTATAAGCGCATCGGGATCATTGGAGCGGTCATGATGATTGGCAGCCTGGCTTACAACAGGTAGAGCAGCCTCGACATCATCTGACCTTCGCTGACGCTGGGAAGACAAATACTTGACAAGTGGGGTGGGGGGGATGACTGTTTTTAGCGAGTGTGATTTTGTAGAGAGAATTAAATTGTCCAGACACATGTTGAACATTAACATGTCACTGCAAATTCAAACAGAATCTAGAAATTGACTTTTGGAGTATAAATACCAGCATAGACTGGTTGGTCTCAATGGCCTGTTTCTGTGCTGTACAGTTTACAGACATCTGTTCCACACAGTTTTCTCAGCTAGGAGGCTGGGCAGGAGACCTGCTCACTTAACGGTGTGTTTGAAGTGTCCTCAAGGTGACCTTCTGCTTTTTCCTTTTGTTTTGTCCTTGTCGGTGAACATTTTGAGTCTTTTCTAGCTCTTCAGCTGAACACTGGGAATGACGGTTTATGTGCATTTCATGCGCAGTCTATTGCATAATCCTAAAACAAGTGTTAGTTTTGCTCAATTGGTAGCACTTTTTCCTCTAAGTCAGGAAGGCTATAAGTTTAAGCCCCATGTTGGGACTTTCAATTCCTAGTCTAGGCTGACACTCCAATGTGTTGCTGGATGTGGACTGCATTGATGGAGGGGTGCTGTCCTTCAGATAAGAACTTAAACTGAGGTTCCATCTGCATGTTCGGCTGGATGTTTAAAGATTCCATGGCAATATTCAAAGAAGGGATTTATTCTAGTTTCCTGGCCAGTAATCCTCCAGATAAAATTAGTTACGACACTTTACAGTGCCTCTTGTGAAGCACTTTAAGAAGTCCTTACCTGAAAGGCGCTGTATCAAATGCAAGGATATTTATAATATCCTGAAGGATTATAATTTCAATTTTGTAGAAGTTTGATGGTTGAGGACAGGGAACAAACCTAAGCTTTTAAACAGTGAAACAGGTGATGTATCAACGTTATTGTTGTTACCAGTTTACAGTCTGAACACGCGCATCAATTGCTAATTGGGTTTCTTTTCCAGGAGCAAAGCTGAAGAAGCATCTTCCAATTCGGCAACCATGAGCAAGGAGTCACTACGACAGGTAGGGACTTTTATATGTATGCTTTGCACCTCGATCTCCCAGCACATCCCACTGGCAAGGGATGTTTAGTTATTAAGTCATTGGGAGAAGGGGTACTCTTCCATCTGAATATTATGATCTAGAATAATGTTCTACGGTGATAACCCTTGGGTTTGGTATGGTGCCTACAATATAAAATGTTTCACAGGAATTTCTGTAAAGTGCATTTGTAGTAAAATGCAGTAACATGTATTAGTCAATATTAGTAGACAAATGTGGTAGCTAATTTATGGGCAGCAGTATTTCCCCTCTCCAAACAGCCATGAAATAAATTGCTTATTTTATCTGTAGAATTCCTGTCCAAGACACCAGGAGAAATGTCCTTCTCCATTCATATAGTGTCATGGGATCTTTAACGTTTACTTTAACAGGCGGTTGGGATCTCAGTCTGACATTCTCATTCTACAAATATGATTGACCAAAAGGACGTGGAGGGTTGGAGATAATTGATCTGGTTTTGTTCTTGTTTTTAACATTCTAATTTTTAAACCCAGGCCACCGCGCTGCTGGAGTTAGTCCGTGGATGCAGCGAGCATTCCCCAGAGGCCGCGGCTCTGTATTACGATGAGTTGGCTAACCTGGTGCAGAAAGGAAACCTGGATCCACAAGTGCAGGTAAAATCTCACTCTGCCTGTAAACATTTATCATAATAATTACCCTTGCATTTGATATGGTGCCTTACCATATCGTTGAGAGGTCTCAAAGCGCTTCACGGAATATATTGTAAAGTATATTTTGACTGTATATTTTGTGGTCGAAACGCAGCACCCAGTTGATCACAGCAATGTCTCACAAAGCAGTGGAGTGACTAAATTTTTTTCCAGGGGTGGGATTATTACCCCCCGAAAGCGATCTGCCAATCCGCTAACAACCGGGTTCCTACTTAATGCTAGGTAATCCGAGGTGTGAGGAGTAAGGAAACTTGCCTTACCGAGGCAAGTTCGCTACCCACTACGCTATGGGACTCGTTTTTTTTGCAGGCAATTTACAATTGCCAATTGCCCACAAAAAAAACTCTTGGGAAGGAGGACCTTTTATTTAAGTAATATTGGAGTTGTTTCTGCAGTAAATTAATTCTATCTCTATTTTAGGTGTCTGCGAATTTAATCTTTACTGTAAAAAATTCCAGAATCGGGAGCAAAAATGAAGATTTCTGCAAATAAATGCACTCTGCTCTAAAATGCTACTCGCTCTCTTTCTCTCTGTGCTCTTTTTCTGTCTCTCTGCTATGCAGGAGTTGATTGGGAGAAGTGTGCTAGATGATTTTCAAGAAGATTTTGTGGTGGATCAGGGACCAGTTATGGAAGGGTAAGTCTGTGATGAGTATTTGCTGTTGAATCATGAATATTTACTGCCAATTGACTATTATCAATATCGCATTTAGATGCAACTAAATAAATGGGGTTCTGTAGCGTGTATTAGAAAAGGCCAAGTTGTATTTTTGAAAAGAAAGACTTTCATAATTATTATACGAAACGTTTATTCTGTGCATTAAGAGCTTTGACCAGTCTACAGTTTGCTTCTCCACACAGCGAGTTCCTGAGCTCAACTGTGAGGTTGGAAGCACTGAGCGGAGAGCAGATATCAATAATAATAATCTTTGCATTTGATATAGCGCCTGCCTTATCACATCTTCCTGATGTCTCAAAGCACTTCACAGAATATACTATTGAATTATATAAGTAAATTGACTATCGGGCGAAATGCGCCAGCCAATTGCGCCACAGCTGTGTCCCACAAACAGTTGTGGATTGAGTGACCACATTTTTTTTTATTCTTGAAGGGATTATTACCCTGGAAAAGCCAATTGACTAACAACTGGGTTCCTACTTACTGCTAGGTAAACAGAGATGTGTGGAGTAAGGAAACTTGCCTAAAGGTTTCGCTCTGCCGGAATTGACCTAGGTCCTCTTGCTTGTGAGGCGAGTGCTCAATAGCTGGAATGGACTACTGAGAACTTGGTTGAGGCCAGAACGTTGATGTATTTAAAAAACAATTTTGTGATTTTGTATACTTGGTATTCTGGAAGGATGAGATCAAATAGGGTGAAGGGCCTCCTTCATACCCACCTCTCAATCTCTTAGGATATTTCAAGGAGAAAAATGATTTGCTACTTGTCAAGTAAAACCTAGAAGGGAAGAAAGGAGAGAATGTAGAAGAAAAAAAGATACTGTATAATAAACAAAACTGCTGTGCAAAATCAAATGACAGTATTGTCAGCCGTACAAAGCTATTAACACGCGTGTTGTTGATTCTTGTCAGTAAATATGTGCTGCCACTAATGGTGATGTATAACCTGGACGAAGAGGAGAGTGAGGGCGGGATTGTTATCAACCTTCTCCCACTGCTTTCCGAGATGCTGACCAACGGTTGGGAAAGAGCACCAGTCAAACATGGAACTAAGAAGTAAGTAAATTATTCTTTACATATAAAGCCTCAATTGTTCAGACCAGTTTCATTCTCAAATACGATACATTTTACCTGCCTTTTACCCTCCCTGGCCCTGGGGAGGCCAAAACCAATTTAGCCAATAATGTTTGAAGCAGGCCTTGAGGTTATGTTTAATTGTTTTTTTTCCTTTTAATTGTTTAGGGGTATTTCTCCTGTGTGTCTTGCCTCCTTCTTCCGTTTACTGAGATTCTGTGAAGAGGTACAGCACAATGGCAACTTGGAGGAGATTGATGCTCTATTAGGTAAGCTCTCAGATACTGGGTGTTCGATAGTCTCTCAGTTTCTGGGTATTGGGATAGGCTCTCAGTTACTGGGTATTGGGTAGACTTGCAGACATTGAGTGTGTTAAGTACGTTCTCAGTTACTGGATGTTAAATAGGTTCAGATCTTGTGAATCCTGCTCCACTGTATGCGGTTCTATGTATTTGAAAAAAAACAATATACAGCATGTCAATATCACTGGTTGTTTCACCCTAGGTTGTCCATTGTACATGACCAACGATGAAATGGTAGAGAAATTGGAGTCACTGTCCAAACAGGAGCGAGAGCTTCTATGCTCACTACAGTTTCATGCCCTGAATTGGTTTAGAGAGGTAACCAGGCGAGAATGGCTTTAATAATGTAAAAAAGAACCAACTTTCATTTTATAGCATTTTAAAGCATCTCAAGGCGCTTTGCAATAATTACTGTAGTTACTGGTTTTGTAGTCAAGCATTTTGTGCACAGCAAGATCCCACAAACAGCCAAGAGGTGAATGACATCTCTCCTCAAATAATAATAATCCTTGCATTTGATATACAACCTTATCACGTCTTCGAGATGTCTCAAAGCGCTTTACAGAATATACTGTGAAGTGAATTGACTGTATATTTTGTGGGCAACATGCAGCAGCCAATTGCGCACAGCAGTGTTCCACAAACAGTCGTGGATTGAACTGACCAATTTATTATTAGTATTTTTTTGAAGAAATTATTATTCCCGGAAAGTGATCCGCCAATCGACTAACAATCGGGTTCCTACTTACTGCTAGGCAAACAGGCGTGTGGAGTAAGGAAACTTGCCCAACATTTTGCCCTGCCGGGAATCGAATGGAAATGTACAGGGCAGAAGGAGCCCTTTCAGCCCATTGAGTCTGCTCCTGCCCTTAGAGCTAGCTGTATGATTCACAGTAAATCATGTGAAGTGCTTTGTGATGCCCTCCAGTTGTGAAAGACTCAAACGTAAAGATTATTAATGTTTTATCAAGAGGCAATATTTTGTAGTATTATCTGCTCCTAGTCACTCAGGTGAAAGAATGCAAAATATATTGCACAGATTTGCTGATTCCCTAGTTGCGCCTTGCCCTTCATTGCAACTTGTACTATCCCGCTGCAGAATTGACAGATCTGAGGGTGAGCTGGGTGCAGAGTGGAGAAAATGCAAGTTCTTTCTTCATTCTTCTAGCTCTCTTCGGTAAATCAAAGATTGAAGGGTACAAACCCATGTACTGTTGCTTTGTAATTCAAAAGATGCTTCACTATAACATTGAAACATCTCAAAACGTTTTACAATAATTACTGTAAAATGTAGGGACCTGGTATTTGTAGGCAACTGCAACATCCATTTTGGCTCTACAAACAGCCAAATGAATGACAAATTTATTTGGGGGATTGTTGGCCAGGACACCGGAAGAAATTTCCTTCTCTTTTTTTAACCTGTATCCTGGGATTTTTAATGTCCACTGGAACCAGGCAGATGGGATCTCCGTTTCGCAACATCTCTCATAATGTAGCAATCCCTCAACATTGCACTGGAACAGCATCCTAGATTATGAGTCTCAGGACCCATCATTGGGCTTGAGCCTACAAGCTTCTGACTCAGAGCAAGAGTGCTATTGACTGAGCCAGGCTGATGCCTACATTGGAATAAGGGAGAAATTTCTAATCTATGGGTTTGTTGACTCTTTCTCTCTCTGCTTTTCAGGTGGTGAATGCGTTCTGTAAACAGCAAGACCCAGAGATGAAGGGCAAGGTGCTCCTTCGATTACAGAATATCACCCAGCTGCAGACCAGTCTGGAGAAATGTCTTGCAGGTTTGGTCTCTTCTGTTGTAGACGTATGTCGTTGGGTACTTCATAATATATATGTAATACGTTAGTTTGGTTTGGCATTGGTGGGCTCTCTCAGATTGATTGAGCACTGGGTTTGAAACCAGAAGGTCTGTGTTTGAATCTTGGTGGGATGTGGATAAACTGAGTATATATCTAAACCGAGTACCAGAAAAACAGGATGTTCCTGTGGTTAAAGTGGCTTTGTGTTAACATGTCTGCAGAAGTCGGGCAACTATGTGCTAATCCAGTGTTAGGCTGCTCCCAGTATCAGTGTCAAGGGCTGATGGGTGACCAAGTTTGATGGGTGACCAGCCAGTCTGTGTCATTAGTGAAGCTTAGGTTACAAGCCAAGCTGTAATGGTTAGTTGACGACCTGGATAATTGTTTTGAATTTCTCACCATCTCAGCATAGATCTTCCAATTAAATGCCAATAAGAACCAAATTGGAACAGTTTGGGGCCATTGACTTGTGCCTCTTTTGAAATGTTTGGGATTTTTTCAGCCAGCAGAGATGGGACACTTTAATCTCTGAGCTGGATTCACGTTCTGTTCCTAGAGGTGCACAGCGCCAGAAGAGAAGAGGAAACAATCATTTGTAATCAATCTTACTATTTAAGAGTTAGAGTTAAGTGTTGGCTTGATTCATCTCCCCCCACCTCCCCCAAGCCCCATGTTAACTAGCTTGTATATTTGCTAATCTGCAGCTGTTTTTGTTTCAGCAACTCCTGGGTACAGTCCCCCATTAGCGTGCTTCGATTGTGAGGTCTCAGACGTTACTCCATTCATAGCTCCTGCAGCACCAGCCAAGAAGGGGAAGAAAGGTGAGGGGCAAAGAATCGTAGAAATGTACAGCACAGAAACAGGCCATTCAGCCCATTGAGTCCGCACCGGCTCTCCGAACAAGTTGTTCATTCAGTCCCACTGCCCTGTCTTGTCCTTCAAGTCTCTATCCTTCATACTTTCTATCTATTATTGTTATCTACTTCCTTCTTGAAACCGACAACGGACTCTGCCTCTACCACTTTATTTGGCAACAAGCTTCTGAGTGAAAAACTTTCTCCTAAGCTCTCCTATTGTTCGTATTGTGACTGTCTTATAAGATCTGAGAGGAAGAGGCTGAGATACTGAGCATGGAGTGAATGGTTTGGGGTTGAATATCACTTTGAGTTTGTTGTAAAGTCACGTTACCTAAGCAAACTCAAAGGAGGGAATGGTTTCCACCACGATCTGACTATACAGTATACACTCAATGCTGTATTTCCACAATTGCTAGAAAACTGTTAGTTCAGAAAGAGCAATGAGATCATACTGTAAAACTCGTGCAGATAGAGTTCCAACGCTACTGAGCTCAGAGCCTGGTAACCTTTGGTTTCATTTGTATATTTTTTTAAGGTCGGAAGGTTAAGAAGAGGACAAAATCTGACAGCAACAAGAGCTCCTCCACAGACAGCTCTCAGACTGAGGAACCAATGGAAGAAAGTCATATACAGGCTGAACAGACCCAAGAGAAGGTAATGTGGGGAAGGGACCTCACAGGATTTTCTCAAGGGAGTTTCTCCCAGTGTTCTGGCCAATAATTACCCACATAAAATTAGTCATTCCATTTATGGCTGTTTGTAGGACCTTGCTGTACTAAATTGGCTGTCACATTCATCTACAAAATGCACAGTCACGACACTTAATGGTATTCTTTATTCTTTTACCTCTCTTCACTTTGGAAAATCAATGCATGTGGGTTGAAGTGTACCGATATGCTAGATGTTTCATACAGTCTCTTGTGCTTCACAGGACAATGCTGAGGAGGGAAAGGTCTCTATTAACCTATCCAATTACAGAGCTTACTTCCGAGAGCTTGACATCAGTGTATTCACCATCCTACGTTGTGGCCTGGTAACCAAGTCCTTATTGGACACTGAGCAAAATACCAAGGTCAGTGTGTCAGGGCTCGTCAGTCATATAGGGTGGGGAGATCAGCCAAGCTCTTCTTCGGGATTTATTGAGTAAAAGCTTTTAAGAATTCTGTTCTTCTAACATTTTAGCACATAATGAAAATTATCTGATGTTTTCTGTTGGAAGTTTTCTGTAATGAAATTTCACGTGCCAGTGAAATTACAAACATCCCAATTTAAGAGAATTGATTGCATGTCATTGCCGAATGAAACATGGATTGTTTCAGCCCATCCTGTAGAGCAGTAGTGGCCAACCTGAGGCCCGAGGGCTGGAGGTGGCAGCAGTGAACCTTTGCAAAAGTCTAGGTAAGTCTGAGTTTGATAGGTAGTGTATGTTCAGTGTTTTCTTAGTTTGATTTATGGCATAAATCAAGAAATACTCAATCAAGAAAATGTGTTTTGTTGGCTGATTATAAAGGCTGGGCACCAATGCTTTAAAGTATTATTTACAAGGGGAGAGGGTTATATTGAGAAAACCATACAGCTTATAAGCTTTATTCATCTTCTAGGTTACCGAGGTTGTACAGCTCGGGTCAGCAGAGTTGATGTTTCTTCTGGAGGACCTGTCCCGGAAATTGGAGTACATCCTGATAGCAACAGCTACCAGGAAAATAAACTTTCTAAAGGTACCCGTCACTTAAACATCAACAAAAAATCAATGCGCAAGAGGTCTCAGTTTGATTTTTTTTTTAAAAGCTTGTCTTCATTGATTCACATTAAAAAATAACCAGGTGATGAGCTCCACCCAACGTGACGTTACCAGGGAGGTAGTTCTCTAGCTATCCTCAGGGTCAAAGCTGTGGTTAAAGAAGATGTTGGAGCATAGAGAGGATGCATGTAGTTTCACTAGGATAAAACCAGGGGTGAGAAAATTGAATTGCGGGCTTGATCTTTGAATAGGTGCTGATTGAGTTTATTTTGCCTACAAAATACACAACCACTGAACTGTACGGTAAATACTTTGAAGTGCTTTGAAAAGCGCTGTATCAAATGTAAGGATTAAAGCCAGGGTAGCCGGTTTGGGAGAAGGGAAATCCGCTCAAAGGTTTCATACAGTCTGATCTGACCCTGTGCATAGCTATAGAACTACCTCCCTAGTAACGTCGTATTGGGTGGAGCACATCACCAGGTTATTTTTGATTGTGAATTAATGAAAATAAGCATTCAAAAAAAAATCAAAATCAGTTCCTGGTCACTGTACAGAGACCCTGTACTTGAGGTTGAGTTTATGTGAGCATCAGGCTAGGAATAATTGGCTTCAGTTAAAATACCCCATCCTGTTGATTAGCCTGAATGTGTGAATAATGGCTACTTGGTTTACTGGAGGGGGCTGGCGCTGTGCAACTGTATCCAGGTAGAAGACAATAAAGCGACCTATTACCTTTAAGTGAGGAGATTGGGGGGGTAGAAAAGAATAAACATGGAATTAATACCTGTGTATTTTTACTACGTTGATGTGCTAGTTTTAGATTTTGTTTACGCTAGTTGTAATATGAATAAACTATAGTTTTATTGACAGTTTTAATAAATCTGAAACACATTGCTCAGCTGTTTCTTCTGCTTTTCCAGGTCAAAGCAGATCGTGATGTTGGGTTTTCACACTTGCGCCAGAACACTCCACTTGAAATGGCTCGGTTTGCTGTCCACCTGCTTGATGCTTTCTGCAATCATCTGGAAAATATTCACAACTACTTTCAGGTTGGGCCTGTGCACATGGAAACCTAGAACTAGCATTGGGCATGCACTGGGGAGTTGGAAATCTTTAGGGGGCAATTCCACCTGTCCCCCCTCCCTTGCCTCCTTCAATACCCATCTCAAGAAGTTCCTCTTCGACCACTCTTTCGGTCACCTTCCTACCTCCGTCCACCCTGCCCTCCACCCCACCTGATCCCAAACCCCAGCTTTGGTGCACATCCTTGACTATCCAGCACTTTGGGACGTCATTTTGTCTTCATTTTGTCTCTGCAAACGGCTTTTCCTCCAGCCCCTGCACTGTCTCGTGTGGTGTCCCTCAGGGCTCTGTCCTCGGTCCCCTCCTCTTCACCCTCTATATGCTCCCCCTTGGTGACGTCATCCGCAGACATGGGGTTAACTTCCACATGTATGCGGATGACACCCTTTCCTCTTCTACCCTCAACTCCACGACCACCGATGTCCTGACAGCTGCCTGTCTGACATCGAGTCCTGGACGAGAGACAACTTTCTTCAGCTCAAAGTGCGCAAAACTGAGGCCCTCCTGAATGGCTCGAGTCAGCGCCTCTGCACCTCAGGCGCTGACAGCATCAGCATCTCCACCTCTCAAAGCCAGTCAGGAACCTCTGTGTTCTGTTCGACCCTGAGCTGTCCTTTCTTCCCTACATCCGCGCCACAACTGCTACCGCCTTCCACCATCTCCGGAACATCGCCAGACTATGGCACTACCTCACCCCTCACGCTGCTGAAACTCTGGTCCACGCCTTTGTCACCTCAAGGCTGGACTATGGGAACTCTCTCCTCGTCGGCCTTCCCGGCCACCTCCCTCCACAAGCTGCAGGTCATTCAGAACTCTGCAGCTCGTGTACTGTCCCGCACCAGGCTTCGGGACCACATCACTCCCACCCTCGCTCACCTCCACTGGCTCCCCATCCCCCAGAGGATCGAATTCAAGATCCTCACCTACAAGGCCATTCACGGCCTTGCACCCTCCTACCTCTCCGACTTACTATCCCCCTACCTACCTGCCCGTACCCTCCGTTCCTCTGGCTCTGGTCTGCTCCACATCCCCTGCCCCAACCGCCCTACCATCGGTGCCCGGGCTTTTAGCCTCTCAGCCCCGAGGCTCTGGAACACCGTCCCCAGTGCCTTTGCCTTGCTTCCTCCTCTTTCCTCCTTCAAGGCCGGTCTCAAGACCTTTCTCTTCAACCATGCCTTCACCTCCCCTCTCGACTCTACCCCCTCCTCGCTCCCTCCCTTCCCTCCCCTCACCTTGACCATTCCCCCCCTGCTCGGGTCCCGACCCAACTGTCCAGCGCCTTGGGATGTCCTCCCAACGTGAAAGGCGCTATACGCATGTAATCTGTTTTTTTGATTCACTCTATTTACGTAGCATTTTAGAGAGTCCAAGAGTCTGTCAAATTCTTAAATACAGCCTTAATTTTGAGGCTGTTTTTCTGAAGTTTCTATTGTAGATCTATAATAATAATAATAATAATCCTTGCATTTGATATAGCGCTTTTCACGTCGGAAGGACGTCCCAAAGCGCTTCACAGAACACACTGTAAAGTGAATTGACTGTATATTTGTGGGCGAACGCGGCAGCCAATTGCGCACAGCAATGTCCCACAAACAGTCGTAGATTGAAAATGACCAATTTTATTATTGTTTTGGGTTTTGGAGGGATTATTATTAGGCTCTGTGTGGAGTAAGGAAACTTGCCCAAGGTTTCGCCCTCTGCCTGGAATTGAACTCAGGTCCCTCGCTTGCAAAGCGAGTGCTCTAACCACTGAGCTACAGGACTCCACGATGTTTGTGTGAAATTGCTTAATTTCTGTTCTTGTTATTGGACGACATTATAAAATCTCAGATTTAATAACCTATTGCTTTCTCTGCTCAGGTGATGATGGGAGAGAATAATGGAGTGGTGGATGCCCTGGGAGTGAATGTGAAAGAACACCAGCTGATGTCCACGTGTTATCAGTTACTGCTTCAGATTTTGCACACACTCTTTGTTTGGTAGGTGTCTGTTGTGAAAGTCTCTTGTTACATTCGATAATAGTCTGCTCAAAATATATTGCTTACGTGAATTATACATACACATTCTTTCCAACAGGGATTAGAGAAAATGATCAGGAACAGAAAGCAGAAGGCTCATTTCCTCCTCTTTAATATTGGGCATCAAGCCCACTATTTCTCCTTTTTACTCCTAATATGATTCACTTGCTATAGTGCAGTCAAATGAATTCCCTAGTTAGACGTATTTCCCCTTTTTATGTTTAATTATGTTTTCTCTTCTCCCCCCACCCCCCCACACCTCCTATCTCCTCACGATTGAATAGCTTCACCTTTGACCAGCACTCACTGTGTCAAAACTGACAACGATTTACAATCAAAGCACGAAAAGTGGCCATTCGGCCCAACCAGTCCATACCAGTGTTTATACTCCATACGAGTCTCCATCCATTCCTTATTCCCTTCCATACCCTCTATTCCCCTCTCCCTTATGTGAACGTCTGGCAATCCTCTTGAATGCATTGATACTACCTGATTCAACCAGAGCTTCAGATAGCGAGTTCCACAATCTCCTTTGGATCTCCTGAATGCTATCTTGCACTTGTGTCATGTACACATGTACAATGGCCAATTGGATAAAGTTCCAGCACTGTGTATAAGGAACAATTAATTAAACAAGAAGTTTGGTGTCTGCCTGGCTCAGTTAATAGCACTCTCACCTCTGATTCTCACTCCCATATCTGGTCCCTGACCAGGACCGCCTTCTTCCACCTCCGCCACATTGCCCGCCTCTTACCCCAAATGCAGCCGAAACTCTCATGCATGCGTTTGTCACCTCCCGCCTGGATTACTCCAACACACTCCTTGCTGGTCTCCCCAGCTCCACTATTCAAAAGATCCAGCTCATTCGGAACCCTGCCGCCCGCATGCTGACCCGGACCAAACTCTGTACCCACACCTCACCAGTTTTGGCCCAGGCTCCACTGTTTCGATTTCAAGATCCTCATCCTTGTATTCAAGTCCCTGCACTCCTCTGCACCCCCCACCTCTCTGACCTCCTCTCTCCTCAAAACAGTACCTGTTATCTTTGTTGCTCCGGGCCTGGCCTCCTCCTCGTTCCCCAAGTCCTCCGCTCCACCCTCGGCGGTCATGCCTTCAGCCACTTTGCCCCGAGGCTCTGGAACTGCCTTCCTCACTCCCTTCGTCTCGTTCCCTCACTTCCTATTTTTAGGTCTCTGCTGAAGACCTTTCTTTTCGACCGCGCATTTGGTCACCTTCCTCCCCCTCCCCCTGGCTCAGTCCCGGGATCCGTTACTGTAAAGCGCTCTGAGACGCCGTCCGGCGTGGAGGGCGCTATATAAATCCAAATTGTTGTTGTTGTTTCCCCATCACCGAACAGGTTGACTTCAGGATCCTCTCGTGTTCAATTTCCTTCACTCTCTGGCACCTTCCTATCTCTCTGATCTCTGCACTCCCCAATCCACCACCTGGCGCCTCTGCTCTTCCCTTGCATGCTCTGCCCCACCATCGGAGGTTGCGCATTCAGTCACTACGCCCCGAAAGTCTGGAACACTCCCTCAACCCTCCGCCTTGCCCCCTCTCCCCTTTTTCAAGTCCTGCCTAAAAACTCTCCTCTTTGCTTTCAGCCACCGCCCACCTCCCAAGCTCGGAGTCAGGCACCGCAACTGTTAAGTGCTCTGAGACACTACCCTGCGTGGAGGGCGCTTTATGAGTGCAAGCTGTGTTGATTCAGAAAGCTGTGGGTTTAAGTTCCACTTCAGGACTTTGCATTCATTTGTCCAGGCCGACACTCCAATGCATCGTTGGAGTTACTGTCCTTCGGATGAGACGTTAAACCGAAGTCTCATCTGCCACTTCAGGTGGACGTAACACTAGCTGAGAAGGGAGTTTCTCCCGGGGGCCTGACAATATACTTTGGTGCGTTCTCCTGATGGGAAACAAGGGGGGAAAAAAACTATTAAAAATTTTTTGAAAAAGGTAAAAGATATTTTTATGGCAGAGTAGAACCTTCGCTCCCATTGGAAAGAATTGTGGGAATTGAGGATTTGTTTTTTCTATTCACAGGAGTGGATTTTCCCAGCATGAAAACAGTAAACTTTTGAAGGAAGCCCTTGGGGTCTTGACGGCTAGACTAAAACCTGGAGATCTGGAACTGGAAGAATTGTTTAGGTAACAAACTATATACTCGACATGAGTGTAAATCTGTGTACTGACATAAGGAATGAAACTGACTCAGTCCTAAAAGTGGATGAGAAAATCCCCCAATACTTTTTCCTCCCCTCGCACCAAAAGGAAATTGTAACTTATTCTTTGGTTCCTTCTCATCCCCCCTTCCTTTCATGCACAATCTATATACGACTACTACTACTACTACTAATAATAATAATAATAATAATCCTTGCATTTGATATAGCGCTTTTCACGTCGGGAGGACGTCCCAAAGCGCTTCACAGAATAGACTGTAAAGTGAATTGACTGTATATTTGTGGGCGAACGTGGCAGCCAATTGCGCACAGCAATGTCCCACAAACAGTCGTAGATTGAAAATGACCAATTTATTATTGTTTTTGTTTTGGAGGGATTATTATTAGGCTCTGTGTGGAGTAAGGAAACTTGCCCAAGGTTTCGCCCTGCCTGGAATTGAACTCAGGTCTCTCACTTGCAAAGCGAGTGCTCTAACCACTGAGCTACAGGACTCCATAGTACTTGATATAGCACCTTATCACGTCATTGAGATATCTCAAAACACTTCACAGAATATATTGTAAAGTGGATTGAGTGTATTTTGTAGGCGAAATGAGGCAGCCAATTGCACACAGCAGTGTCCCACAATTGTGGATTGAGTATTAATAATATTATTAATCTATGTACTGCTTTTGGTGGGTAGCTTTGATCCATCTCTCTACTGCTTGTTCAAGTGTTGATTGCCCAGCAGAGTTCAGCAACTTCTTTCATTGGGAAATGAGGAGAGAAAACCCAAGTTGTGAAACAAAAGAACACTTTCTACAACCAACAGAGTTTTGAAACTTCAAAGAAAAATTATATCCTGAGTTATTTTTCTCCCCATCGCTCTCCATTCCCCTGGATGCAGTAGCAGGCGGGAGGGTTGCACTTATACCTCTGGGAATATCGCTGTCCATCTGGCTACATGAGACTAATGCATGGCTTTCATTAACTTACTCTCTTATTGTGTGGGATTTTCTGCTAGCCCGTAGTTTTTTTTTTAGTTGTCATTGACATTCGCGACCATCTGAAATTGTTGCGATTTTTCAATATATTAGTGTTCCATCAAAATAAAGTAAACAACTTTAATGCTCGTAGAATATTTGATCCCACAGGAAATATGTCGCTCTCTCCCCTCAGGCAAACATTCCGTTATCTGCAGAACATCCAGAGCAGTGTTCCCAGCTGTCTCTCTGCGGTCACTCTGACTCAGCTCCTTATTGTCATAGCAAAAAGGTCTCCAGATGACAAATACAAGGAGCAAATAGGTTTGTCTCATTCTTTGTGTAAACTAGTCCAGTATTATTAATCTGGGTGTGATATGGGGAGGGGTGGGGGAAGAGTGAGGGACAGAGAGTGTAGGTGAGTAGGGTATTATAGGAATACCCTACAATTTATGATTGCTGTAAGAAAGTCCAAAGCCACCTTGTAGCTGGCTATTGTAAAAGGGTTTCTTTTTAATCAACTTTCATTGATAATTGTCTGGGGCACTTGCTTAACTGTTTTAGTATTTGTCAGTCTTAGTATTACTTTGCAGTCCAACCAAAAAGCATCAGTTTAATTCTGTTTGAGTAGATTTCTAAACTTCTGATTCTTTTCCACATTTTGCCCTCAGCTTTGATTGCCCGAGGCTTTCTGTGCCAATCCTGGATTCTACCCACAGGGGAAAGAGAGAAGGGGATTAAATACAATGAAGCACTGCAAAACCTTCTATGGTGAGTATCACAAGTGGTCAAAATAACCAGCGACAATCAGGGCAGATCTCTTATCAGTCCCCGAGGATAGATGGAAATCAGGTTTGAAGTTAATGTCGCTTTGATCCTTACCAGAGTGTGTTGCTGTCCTGTTCATTACAACACTTTCTATTATTTGTGTATCCAACCTTATTCATTTCCTCCTTTGTTCCAAATGTTCTCCAGTGAAGAAAAAGTAGCCTCCCTCTTTGCGGGGAAGAACCTGTAATAATAATAATCCTTGTATTTGATATAGCGCCTTATCAGGTTATTGAGACTTCTCAAAGCGCTTCACAGAATATATTGTAAAGTGAATTGGCTGTATTTTGTGGGCGAAACCTATCTTCTCCCTGAGGTTAGAAATGGGGACTGACCTGCTTGGGTGAAGGTCTCGGGGATTTTCAGCCATTGTGGTTGAAGTCTCCAATGTCTCACTTTTTAACCAGTTCCATAGACAATTGGCTACATGTACTCTATTACCAAAAACATCAAAGACCATTTGAATTCTCTCCCTCTTAAAATTACTGATCTTGCAGAGATCACAAGAGGGAACCCACATCCCATGACACCAACCCAGAGTGTTTGTGCATCAGCTCACTGCATCACTGAAACATTCTCTGGGACTTTGGTATGGCTGATGCATTTGGTGCTTTTCTTGTTTAATGTTCCTTCTGTCCAGACAGTGAGGTATGGAGGTGGAACCAAAATAAGGATCCGGTATAAGAAAGTTGCATCATCTTTCAGATGATACAGTAAGGCAGAGTTGGTTACTCAAATATTACTTGGGGATCCACAGTTCTGTGGAGTTTACTTTGTGTATGTAATGTTCACAGTATTTACTTGGAGCACACAGAGGATGTCTTGCAGTCTGTGGAGGAGATTGCTGGTGTGGGTGTCCCCGAACTGCTTAACTCAAGCAAGGATGGCAGCTCAGCCACATTCCCAACATTGACCAGGTAAGTTAACATGTGCTTTCCACCCAACGGTTACTGCAAAGTTATTGATTCATCCGTCATGAGTTAAAGTTGTACATGTCATAGAAGGACCCAGAGTTGTACCAGTGCTCAGAATTGGGTTCACCGTAGGAATTCTGGCTGTGATACTTTAACAAATAGCAGACCGTTTGGTGAGATTGCTGTACAGAGGGCCTTGCTAGCTATTTCAGCTTACTTTGGGTTCATATTGAAATTTGCTGATGACATTAAATTGGGGGGAGTGTAAAATTCAGATGAAGATATATAGACTACAACAACTTGCATTTATATAGCAACCTTCACAAAGACAAGGTCTGACATCAAGCAACAGAGAGGCAGAGGTGGCTATACGTGCAGGTGAAGAGATGGGTTTAATATGGAACTTAAAAATAGAGAGAGGGATGAGAGGGAGACAGTTCCAGAGATTGGGAGGTAGAATCTGAAGATTTGGCCAATATCTCTGCCTGACTGGCTCCAGCCTTCTGCATGTTCTACTATTGGTGGCCATGCTTCCAGTCACTACACCCCGAAACACTCTTCCTCTATCCCTTCGCCTTGCCCTTTCCTTCCCCAACTTCAGATCGCGCCTGAAGACCTTCCTCTTCGACCATGTCTATGATCACCTTCCCCCAGCTCGGCGTTGTGCTCCACCACTGCCAAGTGCTCTGGGCCGCTACCCTGTGTGAGGGGCGCTATAAAAATGCAGCTTTTTGTGTCAATATTAATTAGATCGCTCAATCTATTCACAGGCAAACGTTCTTGATCTTCTATCGGGTGATGATGAGGGAACTTGAAAAATCAGTCAAGTGTATTCCTGCCGGCATGCCATCCGATTCGAGTGAGGTAACAGTACTTGCATTTGATATTGCACCTTTCATTATTCTATTTGAACTCGGATATTCTAGAGAGATACTCCAGTGTCCTGCTGGGCATCTTCCACATTGTTAGCAATGCAATCCTTCAGGCGAGACATTGTAAACCAAAGTCCCGTCAGCCTGTTCAAATGGACGTTAAAGGTCCCATGACACAATTTGAAAAGAGTTTCTCTCGGTGTTCAGGTCAACAACTAAATAGAATTGGCTGCTGCGTTTGCCTACATTTTACAATATATCCTGTAAAGCCCTTTGAGATGTGATCCCTTCAAGAAAGGCGCTGTATCAATATAGAATTATTGTTGTTACTCTTGGGTAACAAATTGTGCACTTTTGAATTTCTCTGTCTATACCTTGTTGCACACTACAGCCTATGTGGCTTTCTGTATCTAATGCATTCAGCTCAAGAGTTGGAAGCAGCAGCCACGAAGCCAGGCAGCTTATTTACACACAGTGGGATAAATAGTGCTGATTATTTGCATGATGTGCTGATCACTAAAAATAGCCATCTTGTGTCTTAATAATGGGCAGATACTTTTTTTTTAACTAAACCTCCTTCTGTTTTGAATTTCATTTAATTCTCAGGTACAAGCGGAGAAGCTGTTACGTTGGAATTTAGCTGTACGGGATTTCCACATCCTAGTAAACCTGGTAAAGGTAATGAAACAATCTATGCTGATTTTAATGCTTAACTGGTGTGGTTTTTCTGTTTTACTTTCCACTCGGTCCCTCTCCACAGCAATACTTTAGAGATGAAGATCTCATTCAGGTGCAAGATTAGTCTTATAATCTGCTACTGACACATGCTCAAGCACACTGCTTTGATCGTGATTCCTATTTATGCTTTTCAATTATCCGTCCGGGTTTCCCATGGACATAGCAACTGTGTTAGGACATCCCCCAGGTTGTGTGGGGATTTGCTTACAGACCCATGTTAACTGGAAGCTTCGTCCATTCGGCTTTCTGTGCTGACTAACCAGCTCCCCATGCTGCAAAATGGCCGAGTTGTTTGTCACTGTGTCACCTCTGACATAATTTCCTGCGTACTTCCTGCGAAGTGACACCACTGATGTCACTTTGTGGAGGAAGTGATTATGTCAACTGGACTTCTTAATGTCCTACAGCGTGCACTTACTGCAGGTTGCAGGAAATTACATTATTAAAGCTTACTGTGCATATCATACAACGCTTGGAGTATGGCCCGAATGTCAGACATTTTTTCAGGGGGATTTATAATTTGAGACCTGAGATATTGGATCCAGACAATCGTCTTGTAACTGGGTTGCTGTGTATTCTGCGTTATTGTTTGCATATTTGTATTTCAAACAAAGCTGCTCTTATTGTTTCACATTTAATCAACACACAGGTATTTGATACCAGGCCTGTACTTGGAATTTGTCTCAAGGTAAGCACCTTATAATTTTGCTTTGATAGTCGAACAACGGCATTTTTAAATGGGAATGGTGAAGATTTCAGCAGTTTTGTTCAGTCAGTGGCAGAACTTCACATTTTATAAATTGTAGTTGTGATTGTTTGTGCTATATTTTTCTCCCTTTATCAAATGTGTCAAACGTCTTTTTCCTTCTATGAGCGAGGTATCAAGTGCCCTCCAATACCAACCCCCAAGTGATCATTCACTGCCTGGCACAGTGAGGGGCTGTGTTTTTTTTTACCCAAGGATCATCGCAACTGACCAACCTCCTCCCACCCCTACACACACAGACACACACACTCTCTCTCTCTCTCTCTCTCACTCATACACATACACACACACACACACACACACACACACACACAAAACCTCTGTTCTGACTTAGCTGATCACAGCCAAGGCACGGCAGTTTCCATGCATATGTGAAACTCACAATAATAATAATAATAATCCCTGCATTTGATATGGCGCCTTATCATGTCATTGAGAAGTCGTAAAGCGTTTCACAGAATATACTGTAAAGTGAATTGACTATATTTTATAGGTGAAACACGGCAGCCAATTGTGCACAGCAGTGTCCCACAAACAGTTGTGGATTGACCATCGCCAAACTACACCAAACTCACAGTCTCTTAAGCATGGGGATGGGTTTCTGCAGAACACCAACCCAGCTGAGCAAAAAGATCAGATGGGACCAGTTGCGACTGATGTTTACCTGAACACCTGAATGACAGCCACATAGAATAGAATAATAATAATTCTTACATTTATTATAGTGCTTTTATCCTGCCATTGAGGCACCTCAAAGCGCTTCATGACTGTGTAGGCAAAAGAAATAGGAATTTGGGAAGGTTACCAATGTGTGCCCCTGAAACTGTGCCTCCAGTTGATTGGGTGGTGGTGGGGGAGAGGAGAAAGGAAAGGGACAAACGTCTAAGGAAAAGGAGAAACGTTGACAAACAATAAAGAATACCAGAGCTGCATCAGGACCAGCGTGTTGTTAATAGTTTAAAAGTGTATAAAAGGTTTGATTTAATTATACGTAATATTTAACAAAATGGGTGCAGTTTTATAGCAGTAATTCATGTTGCTTACTGTGGTAGATTTGTCGGATTATTTTGCTTTGATCCATGCATGTTTCTGTGATGCAGCATGGACGATTTTTCTTGGAATCTTTCGTGAAGCAAGGCATGCCACTGCTGGACTACAGCTTCAAGAAACACAGGGTATGAAGTTCTACCAAACCCAATGAACGTTCGGTTGGAAATAACAGCCACTGAGACGGTTTCGATGGAATAATGGGAGTTGGAGGTTAAGGACAAACCAGTGATTTAGCCAGGACTATAGGAGTGGTTAGAATGTGGCTTATTTTTTGAATGGGTTACTTGAATCAATGGTCCTTTCAGTTGTGCTGGTGACAGAGAGATGGAGACTTCCATTGTTCCCTTAGTCATGAATTTGTGACAGTGATCAGACGGAGGTTAATGAATCACTGTTATTACTGAAAGCTTATTGGTAAATCATGTGAAGTTGGCCCGAGGATATTGAGTTCTGTTTGCAGTTGTAAAAATAGATTGTTGCTCAGTGTCACCAGCATGTTTTTATTAATAATTTATTAATAATATCTGCATTTGATTCAGCACCTAATCACTTTAAAATATCACCAAAGAGCGAGTTATTTTGAATTGCATTGGCTTGCTATCTGGGCAGCTGGCACTGAGATGAACAGTTAATCTGTCACTTTGTCATGTTGGTTGAGGGAGAGACATTAGCCAGGACAAACTCTGCTCTTCTTCGAAATAGTATAACGACCTTTAAAGTCCACCCGAACCACCAGATCAGGCAAATAAATGGCTCCTCTGTTTAACATTACAGCAATTAAGCGGATGAATGACAGCAATTCCAACAATGCTGAATTCTTTCAGTGCTGCGTTGGAGTGAACCTGTGTTTACTAGTCTATATCTTAAATTGATGCAAAATTGTACTTGGCAGGATGGGTTACCTTTTTAAAAGTTCCAAATCAATATTATCTGAAGTGATTGATTCTCTGTCCATTACAGGATGACGTGCAGAGTTTGCTGAAAACACTACAGCTGAGCACTCGACAGATGCACCACATGTGTGGGCACACCAAGGTAAGGCTGAAACATGGGACTAGTGCGGTAAAGGAACCTCCTATCCAATTGGTTACCAGTAATGTAACTTCCATAGTGTAATATCTGAGGGCTGAAATTTCCCCTGGTCTTCACTGTAATACCATGATCTTAAAATTTAAGATTTTGCAAAATTTTGCAAAATTCTTCAATTAGGTTTTAATTTGGAAACTGGTTTTCTATTGTGCTTAGAAATTAATCTGCTTTCAATTTATAGCAGAACACCAATTATCCACATGTCCGCTTAATATAGCTCTGCACATTTCAAGGAAATAAAGTCCTTAACCTGGAGCAGTTATTTTTATAGGTTGCATAAAGGCAAATGTTTATACTTCTTTTACAGGGGGTATGGTTAGGGTCAGAGATAGAAAGAGAGTTAAGAACACTTGGAAGGAGACAGAGACTCAAACAGAAATCAGGAGAAGAGCTGACACAATCTGGTATACTGCAGTAACTCCTGGGGGAACAAGTTTTTTTTAGAATTGTAGCCAATTTGTGTTTTGCATGATGTCTAATTATCCACACTCCTATCTTCTTTGCCAGCTGAGTGTGAATAACTGAGTCTCTACTGTAGAATGCATTAAGAATCAAGCTAAATTTATTACCGTGAAGATTTTAGGCCTCAGAGTCTGTTATACAGGACAACATGAACACCGTTGCCAGTTAAGTTCTTTTTCTCTTTGACTGAATGTAGATTAACCAGGACACCAGTCTGACCAACCATGTGCCCCCCATGAAGAGGCTGCTGGAGTTATTTGTGTACCGGGTCAAAGCCATGCTAACCATTAACAAATGCCAAGAAGCTTTTTGGCTGGGAAACCTCAAAAACCGAGACTTACAGGTGAGCAATAATAATAATAATAATCGTTACATTTGGTATAGCGTCTTTCACATCAGGAGGATGTCCCAAAGCGATTCATAGGATATAGTGTAAACAACAAGCACAAAGTACATTTGTAGAGTGCCTTTCATGTCAGGAGGACCCCAAGTGCTGGAGTAAAGTGTATTGACTATGTGTTTTGTGGGTGAATGTATGTATGTTTGTTTGTTTCTTTTAATAAACGGGGAACCTATCTGGTTTAAGTGGCACAAATGCTGCTGGATGATCAAAGATCTGCCATGATCTGTATATTTTTAAAAAATGCAATACAATAACGACAAATTACATTTGTATAACGCCTTTCACGTCAGGAAGACGTTAGGCTGAATGGTCTCTCTTGTTCCTCTGGTTAATTGTGTTGCTTTCACACAGGGAGAAGAGATCCAGTCCCAGTTGTCTCAGCAGGAGAGCGAGAGGGATGAACAATCCCAGGTCCCTGAGGACGATGCCGAAGAGGTAATCATACTGTCGAGAGGACATCTCGGGATTAAACAAAAGTGGCCCTCCCCTAAACATAAATGCTTTAGATGCTTTTTATTACTGAACTTTTAGGATGCACTAAGACAGTAGAATAGCAGAACTTAGGGTGAGAGTTTCAAAGGGAAATTTCAGGACATACACCAGGAATTTTTTTTTTTATCCAGAGGGTAATTGATGACTGGAGCAGGTTTCCAGGAAGGGTGGTTGTTGCCAGGACACTGGACTCATTTAAAAAGCAGCTTGATGTTGTGATGGGAGGATGGTAGGGTGATCAGATGGGCCAAAGGACTTTTTTTTCATCCAAACCAATCTTGTGATCATTCTTCTCAGTGAAGGAGAATGTACCATCAATGCTGACTTCTACTTTCCATTTATATGTGTAATTTTGTTTGGAAAAGTGGGCCCGACGGTGGTGTGGAGAGAGCTGCAATTTATGGTCACTGGTTTGATTCCCACTCCTCACTGAGGTTGCTGGTCTGAACCAGGGCTGTGTGCAGAAGCTTAATTGTCCCTGGCCAATTAAATTAAAAGCAGCTGGGTTTACGGGTCCCCTTCACTGCCCTTACAACAACTTGCATTTAAGTGTCAAGTTTAACAGCTTGACATCGAGCCAGGGAGAGAGGGGAGGTGACTGTAAACACGGTTGAAGAGGAAGGTAAGCATGTTTGAAAGCTAGGGGAGAACTCAGGCTTGACTGTGACGGTCGATTGACCTGTTGATGCTCACTGTCAATCGCACATGAACAATGGCCACTTGGACAGAGTAGCAAAGGGCAGGCAGTGTCCAGGGCACTGCACCTCAGCCTTTCTGCTCACTCACTGCCTTTGCAATTCCACAGTGGCTGCAAATGCTAACATTTTAAGATTCTTTTGCAACGTCCAAAAATTTTTTGTTGTTGACGTATAACGTTTGTGTAAATTATCTTCATTGAAATCACCATTACGGGGTGATTGGGAAGCAGGTACCCTGATGTGCTGAGCCAGAGATTTGGAAGAAGTGTTCAAGCAAAAAAAAATGTTCTGAAAGAAATTAAAATATTTTGAGGTCAAATGCACAGCAATTCATAGCAGGAGCCATCAACTCCAAACATAAGTGAGCCACTCCGACCATTTTCAGTCACTAGAGACGCAGATCTGGTCATCAGCAGGAGTTGCTATAAACAACTACTGTTAAGAAAATCCAGACCAATTCGATACAGTGATCAAAGTCTGTTAAAATCCAATAATCCATGGTTTATTACAAACTGACAAAATTGCTTAGATGATATTCACCACCTTGTGCTGGGGAGGAGTCAAAGTGAAAAGGTATTCACAAAATCTCTATTCGTTCCTTACAGGAGGAAGAGGAGGATAGCGAACCAGATACCAATAAATCTACAAAAAATGGAGGAAGCACAGAGGACTCTGATAATGACTAGGTCAGTATTTTGTGAACACTACCAGAAAGCAACAGGAACCTGAAGGAAACTACATGAGTTCCACTGTTGACGGGACGACCAAATGCAAAATGCAAAATGTGGCTTGGACGAGAGAGGGATTGAGGGGTTGGGAGAGTGATGAGGGAGAATGTGTTATGTTTCTGGGAAGGAAACACAAAATATTACTTATGGGGCCCATGGACCTTTCTCAAATAGGAAATCAGTCCCGTGGCAGCCAAAAGGTTGGACCACCCTGGCCTAGGCTATGAGCTCAATGTAGGGCTTGAACCTACAGTCTTCTGACCAGGCGATGGTGCTATCGAATCAGACACTCTTGACACACTGCACAAACACTGAATACATTTTATTTCTTTGTATAATTCAGATAGTTTTCCTCACCTGATACGCTCACTGATTTCCTAATTTTTTTTGTTATTCTCCTCATTTCCAGGTCAATAATGAAGACTTACTGTGCTGTGAATGGATTGATAGTAAGGAACAACCAACAGTGCCTTGTGTTAGTCTGTTTCCAGCTTCCTGTGATGTCTTTCATTGTTTGGCACCAAAGCCATCCCAAAGAACTGGGGTGATGCCCAGGAAACTTGCTGAAAAAAAAATCACAATGGGTAAAACAAACCCATTTGGGAATCGAACAGAATGGAAGCTCTCCATTAGGGGTTTTCAGCGTTTGCCCTTGTTTGTGAGTTTGATATTTGGTTACCATGAGTTTCAAATGAAAAATAAAACCAAGATTGTTAAAAAGTTACCTGAACAGTGAGTTGTCAGCATCACTGAGCTGCCCACAGAGAGCAGAGGGACCTGTGTGATTACTTTGTTTGGCACTGTTGCACCTCAATTACTGGAATATCAATGTTAATGAGATATGTAATAAATTGTTAAAGTACTGGTGTGAGTCAAATATTGACTGTGTTTTGTGGGTAAAATTTTCTGATACTGGTTCGATCCATTCCTGATTACTATAATATTAAGTTGTTTTAAGCAAAACCAATGCAAGTCTGATAAGTGATTAAAAATGTCATTTTATTTGTTTTCCCAAAGAGTGAATTCTCTGAATCTCGATTTTTATTTAAAATCAGTCATGGAAAAAAACACTTGTTTTTCACTGGAGTTCATCTCATCCCTGCATGTTGTATTTTTGCCCTATGACCCCATACTTAAGCTGATCAGCGGGTGATGGAGAAATATCTTGCTCAGCAGGTTTTGCTTATTTTAGTTAGTATTTTAGAAAGGCAGCCAGAACTGTGTCAAGGTTTGGAGTTGAATTCATTTGTAAAGTTTTTTTAAAAAAATAATAGAGCGAACCTCATGAAATTGCCTCCTTCAGATCCTTAATTTGATTTGACTGAACATCAAAATAGTGCAAAAGAGATCAATGGCTTTCCTGTTAAAAATATTCTTGAGTGTGGTTGTTTTTTTTTGAAGGAATATATAAGTACTGCTATATTGGGGAGGGGGAAAGGGCTTTAAAAACCCATTTATTGGGTGCTAGGTTTGTGGCTGGGAGGATGAATAGCGTCTACATCCACACTCAAGTCTGAAGTCAGAGCATTGCTTGCTTGAAGAGATTGATCTGCCTGACAGTTACAACACAGACTGGTAGAATAGTAAGGATAGGGCAGGAGATTTATGAATTCATCCCCTCTCAGAAAGTACCACATCCAACTACTAGCTCAGCATCACAGTGTTGGATTTGTGGAGTAGGCGGAGATGTGTTCTGATATCCCAGGTGAAGAGAGAATATACTGGATTATGGGGAAAATAAATAGTTTTTTTTAAAATACTCTTGTTATTCATTTTCCAAAAAAATCAAAGAAGGTATTTTTGGAAAATGTTATGGCAAGGTTAAACTGAATGTTGTAATACGTAGGAACATTTCTGGTAAGCTGTGTATATCAGTGTAACCGCCCTCATCAACTGTCTATAAATCATCACGACAATGTTAATTTTATATAGTCCGCCCAGAGCAGGCGCTGGGGGTCTGTCACAGACTATCTCAGTGAAAGCAGATCCCTCGGAAACCGTGAAGATGCCAGATAGTTTTGGTGCTCTGGTTGTGATCGCTCGGCCGAATACTGAATCGACAGAGCTCAGTTTGACGGGTTGGGGTTTGTGTAAAACTACGGCGGTCTCGTTCATGATCTCACACTGGAAAGTGTAACAGGGGTCCTCGGTCACCACCACTTGCTCTGGCTCCACTAGCAGGTCCAACAGGTCCCAGTCCTCTGCTACGATTCCATCTTGAAGGTAGAGCGCCACCTCCTGGTCTGATGGGGAAGGCATCTGAATCCTCTCTGCCTCATCTAATTTCTTGAGGGAGTTTGTACTGTAACTGACCCAGTGGAAACTCTCATCGAACGGAATCCATGGATCCCAGAGCTGATATGCCGTCATTTCTTATGAATGGCCAAATTCATTAAAAACAGAAGGGGGGAAACACACTCAGTTATCTCTGCTTGGAATTACAATAAGCAAAGAGCAACATAATACTCTTATGTTGGAGGGAGGAAAGCAAGATGCTTTTACAGTATTTCACATATAATGTTAAATTTAAATTATCTGCTCATAATGTTTCTGATAATATTTTATCTCATATATTCCATTGAAACATCTCAAAGGATTTACTGTAAAATGTAGTTGATGACTATTTTGTAGGTTAATGCAGCTGCCAATTTTGGCCACAGAAATGCACAACAAGCAGACATGAAGTGAAGTGAATGACCGATTTTATTTGGAGGAATGTTGGCTAGGAGATGGGGAGAAACTCTCTTCTCTATTTGATTAAATCCATGGGCTCTTTAATGTCCACCTGAACAGGCAGTCTCGACCTCGGTTTAATATCTTATCTAAATTGTTTTGGGTCATTTGGATGTCTGACACACAGAAACCCATCAGCATACTTTAGAGTATCCAAACCAGACTGAGATTCCATATATGTTTGACATCTACACGTGGAAAATCCCTTATATCCAGAATGGAGTTCACTCTCTCCCTGGAGTGATGCATCCATCTTACCTATTTCTGATGAGTATTAGGTGCAGGTTGGTGAGAGCCAGGGTTTGGGAACCCATTGAGTAACTGTCTGGCTAGCTTGTCCAGCTACGACCACCCAATCAGGGCTTTGCTTGCAAGGTTAACAGGAGCTGAGTGGGAAGAAACCCTGTGCTCAGTAACTGGTCTGCCCTCCAAATCCTGCCAATGCGCCAGACTAACTGGTTCGTCAACAGCAGTGCCTCGGGAGAGTACTGATACACCTGGTTCAGGAACCAGGCGACCGCCACCACCACAGAGGGTTGACTTGATTCCAAGATTCCATTGCCAAGCAATTAGATTGCCAAATATATCACCTTGCATAGCTCCAAAATACCCCATTACCTACCCACCAGCATCATTTATAATTTACATACAGAGTAATTGAAATCCAGTGTAATGGGCTCCTATGGTATCTTAGTTGGTAAATTCCCCAATGTGGAGGTGAAACTCAGTCCTAACTTGATGCCTACCTAGCTGATCTCAGCCAGGATATCACTGGTTTTGGTGCTCCTGGACCAGGGAAAGAATCTTCATCTTGAGTGCTCGCTAGCAGCTCTCTCTCCTCCTTTCCCCACCCATCAATTGAAAAGTGACATTCACATTAGTGACTAGATTGGCTGTGGTTCTTCCCCCTCCCTGATCAAATGCCCTGCCAACACTCGCTGTGTGACGCTCATGTGAAAAAGGACAAATGCTATAGAATGGGCCTGTATTTGCAAGATCTGAACCTCCTGACTTCAGGGAACTCAGTCCAGTCAGTTAAATTCAAAAATAATCTCTCTGGCTCCTTCCTGGTGTGTACAATAGCAAAACAGCTACATGCAGGAGCAGGTAGAGTTTGGTGGACTGGTCAGAGCTGCCCAACAGTGGGTAAGTCTTGGCAAGTACAGAAGGATATGATTCTACAGCACACTTCACCAAAGTGCTTCACCAAAGTGAATGAGGTACTCCGCAACCTCTAGTAATAATAATAATCCTTACATTTGATAGAATGCTTTAACACGTCTTTGAGATGTCCCAAGCGCTTCACGGAATATACGGTAAAGTGAATTGACTGTATATTTGTGGGTGAAACGCGACAGCCAATTGCGCACAACGGTGCCCCACAAATAGTCGTGGATTGAGTCACCAAATTATTTTTATTTATTTTGAAGGAATTATTACCTCTGAAAAAGCAATCGCCAATCAACTAACAACTGGGCTCCTACTTACTGCTGGGTAAACAGAGTGAGGCAACGTTTTGCCTGCCAGGAATTGATCCCAGGTCGTCTCACTTGCGAGGTGAATGCTCTAACCACTAAGCTACAGGACTCCACTCGTACTTGTGTATGGGCTTGACTTAGACCCACAGAGATTAGCAATATCAGACCTAAATGGATTTGTCCAACGTAGATTAAGTTATAATATAACATTGACATAAATCTACCTGCAACTTGGGGTACAAGGTGCAGCATTGGAAGGCCTAAAACTTTTAAAAGAGAAGCGGGAGTGTGAGAAAGGTAGAAAATACCATCTTATTCTTGAAGTGTAAAATGCATTACTTAGCATTACACGACATATAACTCACCTCGTGAGCTTGCAGGCTGCTGTATGATCACCATGAAATACTTCCCAGGAGGCTGCTGATATTTTTATATACCTCCCTGACTATTTATTTGTGTTTGATTGGTGTAATACAGTCGGTCTAGACATGTTTTTTTGGTTGTTGCTTAGTGACCTCCATTATGACACGTCTTCGCAGCGGTGACAATAACTTGGATCAGATCAGCATTGAGAAAAGTATTCTGGAATTTTTAAAGTGACATTCCACCCAGCAGCCGCCCCAGGTCACTCTCCTGCTGTCTCGAGGCTCAGATCAACAACAACAATAGTTTCCAAAAGGGAATTGGATAGATACTTAAAAAGGAAAAAAATGCGGAGCCACAGGGTAAGAGAGGGACTCCATCAAAAAAACTGGCACAACGGCCTCCTTCTGTGCTGTATAACAAATAACTTCTGTTGCTTCACGGTGGGGAGAGAAGCGTCTCGGAGCGCTGTACGGTACACTGAGCTGGGGAAAACAAGATGGTAACTGTAGGCTCGGTATACAGTTCTGGTCACCGCAGTACAGAAGGATATTGCAGCAATTGAGAGGATACAGAAGAGGGCAACCAAAATGGTTGAGAGGATGGAGGGACGAGACTACGAGGAGCGATTAGATAAAACTGGGCTTGTTCACGCTGGAGAAGATTAAGGATATGATTACGTCTTTAAGATTGTAAAGGTACCAGATAACGTGGACCACGATAGGCTGTTTTATCGTGTACTGAACAGCAGAACCAGAGGACACGGCTTGAGATTGAAGTGGGGTATAATATCTCGGGATACATGTTACGCGACTGCCAGGATGTGGAAGGCAAACTGAATGGACCTTGGTCTTTTTATCGCAAATTCTTATGTTCTCACGAAGAGGAAAGTCCTCCAGTGTGATGTGAGGAGGCGGCGAGGCGGAGGCATTGGGCAGTGTGGGCTCCGTGGCCACGGGATCAGCTGATCATAGCTGGTGCAGCACATTCAGTCAGACAAGCGAACCTTTAACTAATTAGCCCTTCAGCTTCGAGCCATCGCAGCATTGGCCATCTTCCCCCCCATACTCCTGACTGTCTTCCCCACCCCCCCCCCCCATACTCCTGACTGTCTCCCCCCCCCCATACTCCTGACTGTCTCCCCACCCCCCATACTCCTGACTGTCTCCCCCCCCCCCATACTCCTGACTGTCTCCCCCACCCCCCCTGTACTCCTGACTGTCTCCCCCCCCATACTCCTGTCTGTCTCCCCCCCCCCCATACTCCTGACTGTCTCCCCCCCCCCCATACTCCTGACTGTCTTCCCCACCCCCCATACTCCTGACTGTCTCCCCCCCCCCATACTCCTGACTGTCTCCCCCCCCCCCTGTACTCCTGACTGTCTCCCCCCCCATACTCCTGTCTGTCTCCCCCCCCATACTCCTGACTGTCTCCCCCCCCATACTCCTGACTGTCTCCCCCCCCCCCCCATACTCCTGACTGTCTTCCCCCCATACTCCTGACTGTCTCCCCCCCATACTCCTGACTGTCTCCCCCCCCCCCCCCCCCCATACTCCTGACTGTCTCCCCCCCCCCCCATACTCCTGACTGTCTCCCCCCCCCCCCCATACTCCTGACTGTCTCCCCCCCCCCCCCATACTCCTGACTGTCTCCCCCCCCCCATACTCCTGACTGTCTCCCCCCCCCATACTCCTGACTGTCTCCCCCCATACTCCTGACTGTCCCCTCCTGTCCCCGCCCCCTGTCCTCCTGACTGTCCCCCCCTGTCCCCCCCCCTCCTCCTGTCCCCCCCTCTGTCCTCCTGACTGGACAATGACGTTCCGTGTAACATGACGGAGTTTTTTTAATATATTTATATAAAACGAGTGACCAATGAGATGAATCGTTACATCAGTAGGTGTTAATCCTGACCAATAAGCTTTATCATAAGGAGTGGAGTAACCAATGGAAATCAGTGTAACCGCAATGGCGCGTTAGGAGTGACCAATGGAAATTAGCGTCACATCCGCGTCGGATTAGGAGTGACCAATGGAGATCCGTGTGACATCAGTGTCGGGTTAGGAGTAACCAATAGAGTTCAGTGTAACAGCAGGAATGACCAATGGGCTGCGTCGGCTCATTGAACCGTGCGGCGCGGCGGCCAATGAGCGGCGCCGGGGCGGTTGAGGTCGGTCGGTCGGTCGGGTTGGGCGGAGGCGGCAATGGCGGGACAGGGCGATCCCGTGCAGAGGGAGATCCACCAGGACTGGGCCAACAGGGAGTACATCGAGGTCATCACCAGCAGCATCAAGAAGATCGCTGATTTCCTGAACTCTTTCGGTGAGTGAGAGGCCGCGGGGCCGAGTGGAGCTGCGGCTCAGGCTGTTCCCCCCCCCAGGGCCTCAGGCCCGGGTCAGGCTGTCCCCCCCCTCCCCCCCGGGTCAGGCTGTCCCCCCCTCCCCCCCCCCCCGGGTCAGGCTGTCCCCCCCCTCCCCCCCGGGTCAGGCTGCCCCCCCCCCCCCCGGGTCAGGCTGTCCCCCCCCCCCCCCCGGGTCAGGCTGCCCCCCCCTCCCCCCGGGTCAGGCTGCCCCCCCCCCCACCCGGGTCAGGCTGTCCCCTCCCCCTCCCCCGGGTCAGGCTGTCCCCCCCCCCCCCCCCCGGGTCAGGCTGTCGTCCCCCCCTCCCCCCCCCCCCCCGGGTCAGGCTCTCCCCCCCCCCCCCCCCCCCGGGTCAGGCTCCCCCCCCCCGGGTCAGGCTGTCCCCCCCCCCCCCCCCGGGTCAGGCTGTCCCCCCCCCCCCCCCGGGTCAGGCTGTCCCCCCCCCCCCCCCCCCCCCCCCCGGGTCAGGCGGCAATGGCGGGCCAGGGCGACCCCGTGTAGAGGGAGACCCACCAGGACTGGGCCAACTCTCTCGGGACGTTACTGTAAATACAAAGTACAGTCAATCCGAGTCCGCCCCACAGTGTATCCTGTGAAGCACTTTGAGACGTCTCCACCACGTGATAAGGCCCTGTGTCAAATACAAGGATTATTATTATTATTGTTGTTATTGTTATTGAGAGGCGAATGCCGCAGTCAGTTTGCGCACAGCAATGGCGCTACCAACAACCCAACCCGGAAATGAATGACTGATGTTGTCTGGGGGTTGTCACCCTGAACATGGGGGGAAGGGGGAGAAACCCAGTTCTCCTTTTGAATAGTGCTGTGAGATCCCTCTGAACAGGTGGACAAGACCTCAGTTTAAAGACCCATCTGAAGGATGGCACCTCCGACAACGCAGCGCTGCCCCCACCACTGGTTTACAGTACAATTTACATTTGTACAGTGCCTTTCGCATAAAGAGGAAGTCTGATCGTTGTTGGAATGTTCAGCCTAAACTGAGCTCAAAGTTGTGACGTGGGGCTTGATCCCACAAACCAGGCAGACCCTATTTGTTCATATGTCAGATGGGGTGTGATTCCTACAGATGGGATGTGTTTTACTTTGAGTGACGTTAAATAAATTAATTTGACTTTTAAGTACATTGACATTTAATACCTTGCACTTATACTGTCCTTACAGACGGTCCCCTACTCTTCAATATCTATATGTCTTGGTGACATCATCCGCAGACATGGGGTCAACTTCCACATGTATGCGGATGACACACAACTATACCTCTGCCTCCACCCTTGACTCCAGGACGACTGCTGTCCTGAAAGAATGTCTGTCGGACATCAAGTCCTGGATGAGAGCTAATTTTCTTTAGTTGAACGCCAACAAGACCGAGGCCCTCCTGATTGGCTCCCGTCAGCGCCTCCTCACTTCAGGTGCTGACAGCATCACCATCCATGGTTGCACACTCCACCTTACTACAGGACTTGGAGTCCTGTAGCTCAGTGGTTAGAGCACTCGCTTTGCAAGTGAGAGACCTGAGTTCAATTCCAGGCAGAGGGCGAAACCTCGGGCAAGTTTCCTTACTCCACACAGAGTCTAATAATAATCCCTCCAAAACAAACCAATAATAAATTGGTCATTTTCAATCCACGACTGTTTGTGGGACATTGCTGTGCGCAATTGGCTGCCGCGTTCGCCCACAAATATACAGTCAATTCACTTTACAGTGTGTTCTGTGAAGCGCTTTGGGACGTCCTTCCGACGTGAAAAGCGCTATACCAAATGCAAGGATTATTATTATTATTAATACTATGCCAGTCTGGAACTTTGGCGTCTTGTTTGACCCTCAACTATCCTTTCTACTCCACATCTGCACCATCTCCCATACTGCCTTCCCCACCTCCGCAACATTGTCCGGCTCCGCCGCTGTCTCACACCGCAGGCCACCGAAACCCTCATACGCGCATTCATTACATCGAGGCTTGACTATGCACTAATGTGCAAATGATGTGATCAAATCATGCACTTCCTCATATAAAATATATATATATACCTGGCTTTTAGGTTAGGAGTGTCAGAACCTTGAATGGGGGGTTTGGGAGGGGAAACAGCGGTCAGGTATGCGTTGTGGAGGAAATGGCATTTTCTCCTCCCAGGTTTTCTGCTGATCAATGAATTAAATGATTAGCAAACATTTTAAATAGGGACAGCAAAGATATTACACACACTGACCACGAGGAGCTCAGCACAAGAACCTCTGCTGCAAGAACCAATTTCAACCGAATCCCAGTCCTTTCTCATGGGGTGCTCCTATCACCATTAAATTTATAATTTAGCAAAGTAATAGATGAGGGAAACTTTGATTGAGTAAAATGTTAAACAAGCTCCCCCAATGGCCCAGTGAGTAAAAGCTCCACCCAGTGTATCACTGAGCCAAGCAGACCAGACACCCGGAAAGTGGCTGTGAGTCTAGAAACTGGTGAGGACGGGTCAGGCTTGGCTGCAGTGTTCTCCCTGCTGTTGAGTTAGATGTTACAGATTTAGGTGATGTAGGCCTAAACAGAGGTCCCATCTGCCTGTTCATGCGGATGTTAAAGATCCCATGACACAATTCCAAAGTGAAGGTAGTTTCTCCCAGTATCCTGGCCAACAATCTCCCAAATAAAATTGGTTTGCTCACTCCATGGCTGTTGTGGACATTGCTGCCGTGTTTGCCTACAAAATACACAGTCAATCCACTTTACAGTATATCCTGTGAAGTGCTTTGAGTTGTCCAGATGACATAACAACAACAACAAAATTACATTTGTAAAACGTGGCACTTTACAAATATCAGGAGGACGTCCCAAGATGCTGAACAGTCGGGGATCAGGACAAGCGGGGTTAAGCTGCTATATCAAATATAAAGATTATTATTATTATTAAAGCGCTTGTGAGTGTGTTACAGCATTGTAACTGAAGCAAATACCTTGTATTAGTCATACAATCAGCAGACCTCTGACATTGTCACAAGGGCTCTGCTCCTCTGCTTCTTAATTTGCTATCATTCCTGACAAATTAATTTGTCCCACTGTCAGGGCTGTTTATTTCATCATCAACATGCTCCTTCTTGGTGATGTATATAGGCCTGGTTCCACATGTACATGGATGATGCCCAACTCCACATTTCTGCCTCTACTCCCAAGACCATTACTGTTCTGACAAACAGACGGACAGCTCATCAGCACACCTCCAGCATTGTGATGGAGTGCTCAGCCTGGACTGTGAATTCAAGTTCCTGACATGGAGTTTGACTTCAGAATCTGGGGCGAGGGAGCTACCATTTGGGCTGATCCCACTGCTAATCCAGTAAAGAGTCTGTATCAGGCTTGTATATTCCCTTCTCAGCAGGAGCAGAGATCAGTGGGCAGGGAGACCCAAGCCACTGATAAAAATAAGGGTATTAAGCGCACCGAGACTCTACCCTGTGTGAGGGACGCTATATAAATGCAAATTGTTGTGGTTAAGTGGTATGGAGAAAAGACAATAAAATTGAATAAAAAGATCTGTGCAATCTCCAAAACTGGCACAACAGGTTTGATTAATTGAATGTTCTCCTGTTTCTATGATGGTGAAACAGCCTCCATTGCTGTATTCACACAGAGCTGCATCTGGTCAACAATTCTGTTCACTGCAAATACACAGTAAATGCTGTGAAGTGCTTTGAGACTTTCACAACACCGACGTGAAAAGCATTGTATAAATTGCAAGGATTATTATCATTATCAATAATAATTCTGTTTTACAGACATGTCGTGTCGTTCGAGGCTAGCCACGCTGAATGAGAAACTCACCTCACTAGAGCGAAGGATTGAGTACATTGAAGCCAGGGTAAGGCGGAGGGAGATTAATCTGTTAATATGGGAGTATATTTGTCAGATTATTTTTGCTATGGTACTATCCAAATGAGGGGTCTGCGGCTCTTGCTTTCTTTTCTCCATTTCCCCGAAAAGGGAGCCCTTTCCTGGGGGTTCTATCAGTGAGCATTGGCTGCTCTCCAAGTGGCTGTTTTTCACATGTAAGCTTAGACAGTGTACGTCAGCAGACTGTTTGAGAGTTGGGAGTATCACAATTTGATCCAATCCTTTCGTCACTCGACACCCATTCATTAGGGGATTAGATTACGTCTCATGGAGAAAAAACACCAGCACAGACAGACCTGTTGGGCTGAACAACCCATTTCCATTTTGTATCATTCTATGATTCACTTTCAAAGGTCTGGGATGTTGTATTGTAAAGTTATTCATATTGTCCGTGTGATCTTCCATTCTCCTGTTGCATTAGTTTTGAATTGCTCTTGTCCTTTTATGAAGATTTCATTTTGAAAGCAACCAATGTGGCAAAGACTGAGCCTTGTTGTACAGTGATACTGCAATTTAATTTGCGATGTTACACCTGCTTTGCGACCCATCATAGCATGTGGAAATATACAGGATATTAGTGATGTATGTTAAAATAAATTGGGAATTGCAATCCTGGAAACAATAGAAGCTCACCTTAGGCCACCTCAGTAATGGGAACACCTTGCTCGTTGTTTAGTTAATTAGGAGTCTGGTGACGTAGCGAGAGGACCTGGGTTCAATTCCTGGGTGGGGAGAAAAGTTAGGCAAGTTTCCTTACTCCACGCATCTAGCAGTAAATAGGAAGCTGGTTGTTAGTCGATTGGCGGATCACTTTCCGGGGTTAATGATCCCTTTTTAAAAAAAAGTTAAAAAAAATAATAAAAATTTGGTCACTGAATCCACGACTGCCGCATTTTTCCCACAAAATACAGACAGCATATCCTGTGAAGCGCTTGAATCGTCTCTTTGTCATGATAAGGTGCAATAGCAAATGCAAGGTTGTTAGTTTTTATATAAATCATTAGGTAGGCCGCAGTTGGAGTTTGAACACTTCGCTGTAGGGAGGATGTCAAGATCGTAGAAAAAGTGAAGAGGAAACTATTCTGAGTTTCATTCTGAAACAAGCAGACGTTTCACTTGTTAGGAAATTTTGGGGAAACGGAGGCTAATTTCTCAAGAACAGAGAAGATTGAGAGGAGCCTCTTACAGGTGTTTAAAATTATAAACAGAGAAATTAGATTGCATCTGATGATGATTCAGTAAATGGAGGGCACAGATAATTACAGATCATTAAAGCAATTACTAAAAAAATGGAAAAGTTAGAAGAGAGATTATGACACAGGGTTGTTAGGAACGTCCAACCTGGAACTTGGTTGAGGCAGAATCAGTATTAGCTTTTAAAAGGACATTAGATAACTGTCTCTGAAAAAGAGAAATATGAAACGTTATGGTGAGTGGGACTGAATGGATAGGGCTTTCAGAGAACCAGCACAGACCATGATGGCCTGAAATGCTCTAAATTTCCTTTGTTCTAAAACGGTTCTGTTTGTTTACTGTCCCTAATAGCTTGTTTCCACTGTAAACGGCCAGCAGAAGCTTTAATGCAATAATATACTGCAACAAGTAAGCTTGTTTGCTATTTTCACAGAGCCTGGCTGCCTCCTTTGGGGCATTGGACCATGTTAAGTTCAGCTCCTCGATTTGTAATAACCTTAAAATCTCCTACTTAGCACCGCTTCCTCTTTTTGAGGTGGTTAAATTCATTGAGGTGATGTATTTGCTATTGTCATATGGCATATTGGCCCTGAGGAATGGAAAAGTTTAGGTTCAAATGTTTAATGTCAATCCTGAACACTCCCAGATGAGGTTAGATGCCGAGCTAATGGTCTTCTGTTCTGCCTCAGTAATGTAGTTCAACCCCAATTTCTGAAGAGAATTGATGTAACAATTCAGTTTCCCACTCCGCCTCTCCCTGTGGCCTGTTTGAGGGAGATTGGCATTTCATTGCTGAATTTGGGGTACACAAAAAAAGAGACAGTCATTCCACTTTCCAGTTTATCCTGCGAAGCGCTTTTGGATACCCTCCCAAAGTTAAAGACACTATGCCAAATGTAAGGATTATTATTATTATAGTATTTGTGGTCTGAGGTGACATCTCTAAGGTTTAGCTAAACAGAATCATAGAACTGTACAGCAAAAAAGGACAATTGCCCATTGTATCTGTGCCGGCTCTTTGAAAGAGCTATCCAACTAGTCCCACTCCCCTGCTCTTATCCCATATTTTTGGTTTTCAACTGACTATCCAAATCCCTTTTGAAAGCTACTCTCGAATCTGCTTCCACCTCCCTTTCAGGCAGTGCATTTCTAGACTGTAACAACTCTCTGAGTAAAAAAAAATTTCCGCTATCCCCTCTGGTTCTTTTGCCAATTATCTTAAATCTGTGTCCTCTGGTTACCGACCCACCCAAACATATTTCACGTAAAGCCAGCAGACTGAGGTGACTTTCATCCCATTGGGCTCGGCTTGATGGGAATGGAAGCCAGAACCTAAAGGTGTAAAAGTAAACCATACATAAAACTTATGAGACCATTCAGTCCCCACAAATTCAAGTTTGTACATTGCACTCTCTGCTGTACACCAGCACTGTGAGACCAGCTTTAAAGATGTGTCCAGGTAAACAGTTGTTTTCGGAATAAAGTGTTTTCTGCATTTAAGGCTGAATTTAAGAATGTTCCAAAATTCTGTACAATCTCAAATTGTAAGATAATAGTCTTGAGCCTGAGATGGTGAGAAATGTCATACATCAGATGAGGCAGGGTATACACTACACAGCCGGCTGACTCTCACTGTCTAGGCTCACATATTACGTATGACCACTTGGGCGATGATGTCTGAAAAACTGTACCTCTTCTGCCTTTGAGAGAAGGAGATGTTTTATTCTTTAGACTTTGAATGGCAGATCAAGTCTCCTGCCTATGCCACCTCTTTGGCAGTAAGTGGTTGTTCATGTTGTTTCTGATTGGGTTGACACTTATTTTTGTTCTGCAGGTAACTAAAGGCGAGACACTGACCTAAAGGAAACCCTAGTGCAGGAAACTCTTGGAGTGTGGACCCAGTGTAATCATGCCAGTGCTGTACGGATACTTCATGTGTCTAGCCATTGAACTCTGTTTCTCTCTATCTAACACTTGATGCATTCAAAGCTTTCACAAGGAGAGTCCGACTGATTCAGCCATGTGCCCCACACTGCACCGTCTCCCGGCCTTTGTCAAGAGAGAGACTTGGATTGAATGACGACCTTGTTGGAAAAATTGTGCCAACTCTTGTGTGTGGTGTGCTGATTTCCCCCAATAATTTACAAACTCTATTCCTAACTCTTTATGTGTCACAAAGTGCGTTCTGGCCTTCTGTTTTACATCTAATAAATATCTAAGCCTTTTTCACGTTGGTGAGCCCCAATCTCTAGCTCTTCAGCTGATCCTGGGAAGAAGAGCAACTTTTCCCCCCAAATCTTTGCATAGTAACAAATGTAAAAAGTGAGCCTTGCAAGTAAAATGTCGACTCTCCCAGTGTGCTGGAACATATTGAAAATTAAAAAAAATTGAATGTTGTGTTTCTGTGTACATTCAAATAAATACAACGTACCTTTTTCTTTGTCTGAACTTTGAGTTCATAGTCGCAGCTGACACTCCAGCGCAGTGCTGGGGGAGTGCTGCATTGTCGGAGGTGCCATCTTTTGGACGAGGTGTTAAACTGAAGGCCCTCTCACTTGTTTGGGTGGATGTTAAAAGATCCCATCTGATCAAAAGAGAAGGGAGTTGCTCCTGCTGTCCCGGCCATTAATCCCCCAGATAAAAAGAATGGTTGTTCACCGTCTGACTGTTTGGGACTTTGCTGGGTGGAAATTGGCTGCTGTGTATATCTAAAATAGTTAATACATTACAGAAAACTGCAGCACTTTCAGATGATAATGTTCTGAGGTGATCAGGCACTATATCAAAAGCAATAATTATATCCCTAGCCCCCACTGGGCCCTGTGTAATGCTCTGCAATCTAACACTCCTTACTGTCTCATCTCATTCATCAGTTCACCTACCATGTCCCTTGTCTTCTGGAATTTATACAAACCCACTTTGCCTCACTCAGTCTCATTGAAATGAAAACGGGTGTGAGATGGCTGAGAGAGAAAAAACAAATGGTGCCCATGAGGAACCAGTTAAACAAGGGTGCGCACATGTGAATTGGGTTAAAAGTATGAAAAATTTTGTGTTTAGACAGAACTATGGTGATATGTAGAATCCATCAGTGGTTAAGAGCACTCGCTCACAGGTGAGCGACCTGGGTTTGATTCTGGCAGAGCGAAATGTTGAGCAAGTTTCCTTACTCCAAGTGCCTCTGTTTACCTAGCAGTAAGTAGGAACATGGTTGTTAATGGATTGGTGGATCACTTTTCTGGGGAAAACAATAACAAAGTTACATCTATATAGCGTCTTTCACGTCGGGAGGACGTCCCAAGGCGCTGGACAGTCAGCGTTTTGGACCCGAGCTGGGAGTCGGGTTTGGGGAGGGTGGAGGGCAGGCAGGGAAGGACGGTGATTGAAAGTACAGTCGAAGAAGAAGGTCTTGAGATGGGTCTTGAAGGAGGCAAGGGAGGGGGTGAGGCGGAGAGACTGCGGGAGGGAGTTCCAGAGGATGGGGTCAGAGCACCAGAAGGTCCGTCCACCAACGGTGGGTGAGGAGGGGGACGTGAAGCTGGCCAGAGCTTGCTAAATGGAGGGAGCTGGCAGGATGGTAGGGGGTTAGCAGGTCGCAGAGGTAGGAGGGAGCAGGACCATGGAGGTCTTTGAAGGTGAGGACCAGGATCTTGGACTGTAGCCTCTGTGTAATGGGAAGCCAGTGGAGTTGGGAGAGGATGGCGTGATAGGGTCGCGGAGCCTGGTGCGGGAGAGGGCACGAGTTGCTGAGTTCTGGATGATCTGCAGCCTTTGGAGGGAGGAGTTGGGGAGGCCGACAAGCAGGGAGTTAACATAGTTGAGCCTGGATGTTATGAATGTGTATGAGGGTTTTGTGGCCTGTGGTGTGACACAGTGAAGGAGCCGGGTGATGTTGCAGAGGTGGGGAAAGGCAGAGCGGGTCGTGGCGCAGATGTGAGGTAGAAACATTTAAAATTGAAATGAAAATGTCTACCACGACACTCTGTCCTGTGTCAATTCCCTGTACTAAGTCAGCTCAGTCCTGGAACTAATATTAATCAGCCTTTCATTTTATGTCAGGAGGATGACGCAAAAGTGCTTCACAGGATTTACTGTGGTTACTGTGAATTTTGTAGACGAATGCAGAAGCCAATATACGCATAACAGTGTCCGATAAACAGCTATGATGCAAATCAAATAACTAATTCCATCTGGGGGATTGCTGGCCAGGACGTACAGAGAGCTGATTGTGTGAACTGGCAGGGTGAGAGACCAGAGCAATGTGCTTGTAGTAAGATTGCTTTAAGCTCGTAGTCCAGGCCTGACACTCCAGTGCAGTGCTGGGGGTGCACTGCGTTGTCGGAGATGCCGTCCTTCGAATGAGATGTTAACCGAGGTCCCGTCTGCCTGTTCAGGTGGACGTTGAAGATCGTATGACAATTTGAAAGGAGAACAACAACAACAACAAATTGGGAGTTTCTCTTGGTGTCCTGGCCAACAATCCCTGAGACGAACAACAGGAACTTGCATTCATATAGCGCTCTTCATGCAGGGCAGCCTCGTAGCGCTTGAATCGACCATTCATTTCATGGTGGTGGTGAGACATTTCTGTGCATTAATTGGGTTGCCATGGTTGCCTACACAGCCACTACACTTACAGCAATATGAAGTGTGTTGATACTTATATCAAATGTTAGGAATATTCTAAGAATAGTGTACACTGCAGGTCCCTCCTTGGATCAGTGAGAGGCTCCACATTAAAAACAAACCTCATCCAGTGTTGCAATCATTTCATGATTATTTAGAATGACATTCGTCATTGTGTGAGGAGCCAGAGCCAAGCCAGTAAAGTAAGGCACATTCTGTCATATTAAACCCGCTTCTCTGCACAATACAAGCACCAGAAATAAACCCTCCAAATTTCCAAATAGGAGCAAAGCCTATTTTCTAATTGACAGAAGTATACTTAAATATGCAAATTCAAATTAATTGGGATACTTGAGGAATAGATTACACAACATTTCTAGCCCCTCTGGATACACATAGCCATGGAGTGCTGTGGCATGTTGGTTAGAACATTCGCCTTGTAAGCGAGAGAACCCAGGTTTGCTTTCCGGGATAATGATCCCTTGAAAAAATAAATTGGTCACTTAATTCATGATTGTTTGTGGGATACAGCTGTGTGCAATTGGCTGCCGCGTTTCGCTCACAAAATACATTTACAGTCTATGCTACAAAGCACTTTGAGACATCTCAATGGTGTAATAAGGCACTATATCTAACCGCCCCCTTGCTTCCCCCATCAAACAGTCTACTGCCCAGGCTCATATGTAAAGAGTGGTGACTTGGGCCCAGAGCCCAACAAGAAGGAATTAAAGAATAATTGTCCAGTGTCAGTTTTTTTTCAATAAAAATTTTTTGGCTCCTGAGTTAAAATAGACTGTGGAGCAAGAGAAGGCACAGCCTTTTGGCTAAGCTCATGTAGTTCCTATGTTTGGTTACGCAAGAGTTCACATTGAGATGAATGCGGTGCTGTATATTGACTTGGAACTTAAAAGCAGGTCTCCTCGGAGCTGAGCTGACTCCCAGATGAAGTACTTGGCAATGGAATGTTGGAGTCAAGCCAATCCTCTGTAGCTGTCTAGGTATCTGGGTTCCTGAGCCGAGCAGGTCTGCAAGAAGTCCCCAGGCACTGCTGATGACAAACCAGTCAGTCTGGCTCCTTGGCAGGACTTGGAGAGGCAGACCACTCACTGAGAGCAAAGATTCTTCCCACGCAGTTCCTGCTGACACTGCAAGCCAACACCCTAATGAGTAGGGTGGTCCTAGCTGAGCCAGCAGTGGGAAGCTTGCCATACATTGATCTCAATGGCAAACTATAAGGACTTTACCTTGGTAACTCCAGCAGTTACTCCAACGCACACTTTGGGGTCCCCAAGACTTGGCACTAGCCAACCTGCGCTAATACTTTCTACCATTAGGTAAGCAGGATGTCTCCTTGCACAGAGAGAGAGCACATTCTGTGTCAGACTTGGGGGACATTTCCATGGATAGGTGGAATTCTTAGTCTCTTCTTGATGCTTTTGAGCATGGTGATGGCTTTCCGTAAGGGTCTGGCTGACGAAAACACCCTAGATCTGGTGGTTGAGGGATTGGTTGAATGTCACTTTGTCGCTGATGTTAGTTCAGACTAGTTTTGTTGAGAGGCCTGACCTGTGTGATGGGGTTACTGTATTTATAGAATTGGACTAATTGACTTCATGGCTGTTTGTGGGACATTAATCTGAACTGGTTGCTGGGTTTATAAAATACAGTCACAGCACTTCACAGTAAATCCTATGAAGTTCTTTGAAACATCCTCCCAACATGAAAGGCGCTATATCAAATGTAATTTATAATATAGTAATAATCCTTGGATTTGATATAGCGCCTTTCTTGTCTTTGAGACGTCTCAAAGCGCTTCACAGAATATATTGTAAAGTGAAATGACTGTATTTTGTAGGTAAAACGCGGCAGTCAAACAGTTGTGGATTATTACCCCTGAAAAACGATCCGCTAATCGACTTACAACCGGGTTCCTATTTACTGCTAGGTAAACAGAGGCTTTGGAGTAAAGAAACTTGCCTAAGGTTTTGTCCGCCAGGTCCTCTTACTTGCGAGGTGAGCACGCTGACCACTACAGTACGGGACATCATTATTATCTAACCACTACGGGAGTCTATTATTATTATGGCCGGTTAAATAGATGCTCTATAATTAAAAGATACATTGCAATAATGGTCGTGAGATTGGACAATAATAAACCCTAAATGGATGTCTGGGTCCTGTAACTAAAAGATAATTTGAAAGGATTGATTGTTGATTTATGTCATCGTTTCTCTGTATTTCTTTTGTTAGAAAGTTGATTTTCGTTAGTGTGTCTCTTTAGTAGAGTGTTTGCGACTCCCTTCCCCAGATCGCTATTTTCTAAACATCAGTAAATGTATGAATGTGCATACGTGGGCGATCACCACCGCTTTAAAGCCTGCGCCTGTCTGATTGTGAAACGTAAAGCTTCAGAATAGCAGAGAGGTCAGAGCAGCAACAGCTGCCAATATAAATTACCCACTTCCTGGATATGGAGGAGATTAATTCATCTGGCTAACACTGGGCTGATTGTACAAGATTTCTTTCATTCATCGCTGCTCTTGAACTCTGGTAAGCTGGCTGTTTGTCAGAACTTTGTGTTCAGAACATCCTTGAGAGGTTCTGCACTCCTCGCTGTGATCTTGGGAGCATTAAATCTTGTAAACGAAGGCATTATTTCCCTTTGGAAATTTCTCCCTAAACGTCTATTATCTGAGCTATTTATGAAGTGTGTCTTTTAGGAATGCCTGGTCTGCGGGAGTGATCTGAGGGCAGGAATCAATCGTATTGTCTTGTACTCTGCGGTGACTTGTTATTGGACTTACAGTACT